GGTTAAATTTTGTATCTTCTCACTGGTGAACATTTGCTATGACAATTTGAAGCAATGTAGCTCAGAATTAAACAAGGAGTCAATTGACCAAAGGTCAAGGTCACTGGGTCAAATGTCAAGGTTAAATATTGTACCTTTTCCCTGATGAACATTTTGTTATGACATGAAGCAATGTTGATCAGAACAACACAGAGTCAACTGACATTAGGTCAAGGTTACAGGGTCCAAAGGGTCAAGGTCAAGTTTTGTATTTTTCACTGATGAACATTTTGTTATGATATTATGAAGCAAAGTTGGTCGGAATTAAAGAATAAGTCAACTGACCAAAGATCAGGGTCGCTGGGTTAATGGTCAAGGTCATTTGGATCCAAAGGTCAAAGACAAAGTGGATTTCTTACTTTGACCCTGGCTCTTGATGGAGGAGGTATTTAAGGTGAAATAAAACAAATCAAAGCTAACAAATAAGTATTGCACCGGTATTTACATTTCTGTTAGCCCAGCAAATATGGAGATGGAAGGAAACAAGACTCACATCATAGTACATGTAAAATGTATATTTTGCTTCCTTGTGATTCTTTTTGAAGTCCAAATAGCAAAAGTCAAGCTCAGCTTTATGGGCAGATTACTTCTTGATGATTATGGGGGATATATTGCCACAAGACGGGGCCCTTACTGACCTGTCAGTGTTCTAGTTTTAAAGTGAAGTCAGCAACCCTACCAATGTGTGTAAAGCAGAAGAGAAACTTTTACGCTTTATTAGTCTTTGTTAATGTAGAGGAATGGTAAAAAATATAAAACATAAACTTTATTTATTTTACAACAATTATTAAACAAGTTATTTCAACTTATATTAATCACTCTAGTTGGCCTGTATGTTAGCCTACAGGGTCTTAGTGTGGGAGGTACCCGGAGAAAACCCACGTGGTCGGGCAGGTGACCCCATACCCTTTCACGTCTGATAGGGGAATCAAACCCCGGCCGCCTTGGTGAAAGGCAAGTGCACTATCCACTGCACCACCTGACCACCCTTAAGGAATGGTACACGAGACCAGGAAATATCAGAATAGAGAAAATTTAATGCATTATTAGACTTGAATTACATGGAGGAATGGTATAAATTGCAACTGGGAAATATCTGAAATTGTTCGAATTACATGGAGGAATGGTATAAATTGCAACTGGGAAATATCTGAAATTGTTCAAGTTTTTGAATTGACACATGCAGCTAATGGTATTGGATGGTAAATGATGAGGTTGGATTGTTGAATTGACAATGCTACTCTGTACTTTATTTGATCTTGTTAAGTCGGTTTCTTGGCAGGGTTTACGATGCACATCTGAAGAAGTTTCGAAAACGCAATACGACTTTATCATTAACGGAAAACCAATGTTTCAACAACAATAAAAATATCTGGAAAATAATTCAATTTTACAAATTTTCTAAAAGTACAATTTCAATCTGAAAGATATTGTCAAGGTTTCCCGAGTATTTAACATTTCCAATTATGAAAAATGTCTCTAGAAACGGATCGCATTCATGTGTGATGGAATTTTCCGGTAAACGACTGTTACGCAACTTGATGTCAAAAATACGCAACTTGTATCAGGCTGTAGGAGGGATGATTAAAAAGTTAAGCTGCTGAGGGAAAGTGTTTCTATTTCCGATCAATTGCAAACATTATGTTTGATTATATTATTTACTTTGTTAATGATTTCTTTGCTGTTGTGTGTGGGCGACATTATTCCTCACACTTTATCACACGCCTGACAAACTCAATTGATTTGAAATGCTGCATAACTTGTAACTCCGCGGCAGAACGTTTGTGGAGTTAAAGTCACCAGAGAGTGTTCAAGGTTGATAAATGTTTGGATTGATTGATGCTCTGAAGATTCCTGATTGCTTTGTGAACAGACGATTTTAGGATAGGAAAGGGTTATACGATAAGTAATACACGAAACGAAATTAATAGTAATGAATATAATAATTAATATTCAAAGTGTTAATATAAAAAGAAATATTGCTTTGTGAACAGACGATTTTAGGATAGGAAAGGGTTATACGATAAGTAATACACGAAACGAAATTAACAGTAATTAATATAATAATTAATATTCAAAGTGTTAATATAAATAGAAATATTGCTTTGAGAACAGACGATTTTCGGATAGGAAAGGGTTATACGATAAGTAATACACGAAACGAAATTAACGGTAATTAATATAATAATTATATTAACATTCAAAGTGTTAAAATAAATAGAAATTTTGTTATACTAATGAACATTACTGTTTGCAGTGATGTTTTGTTAAATATTTCAGAGAAGAATGTTTTTGTTTCTTTGGGAAATTGATGTCTAAATTTATCTTAGTATGTGGGTGATTCTTTTTTTTTCTGTATGAAATTGGAAAGGATGATTTGTTTCTATGTGAAAGCGACTTTATTTGTTCTGTGTGGGAAATTTGTTTGCCATCATCAGTAATATTTTGTTCTGTGCGAGAAATTTGTTTGCCATCATCAGTAATATTTTGTTCTGTGTGGGAAATTTGTTTGCCATCATCAGTGTTGTTTTGTTCTGTGAACGAAATTTGTTTGCCCTCATCAGTAATATTTTGTTCTGTGTGGTTAAGTGTTTGCCATCATCAGTGATGTTTTGTTCTGTGTGAGAAATTTGTTTGCCATAATCAGTGTTGTTTTGTTCTGTGAAGGAAATTTGTCTGCCCTCATCAGTAATATTTTGTTCTGTGTGGGAAATTTGTTTGCCATCATCAGTGATGTTTTGTTCTGTGTGGGAAATTTGTTTGCCATCATCAGTGTTGTTTTGTTCTGTGAAGGAAATTTGTTTGCCCTCATCAGTAATATTTTGTTCTGTGTGGGAAATTTGTTTGCCCTCATAAGTGATATTTTGTGTTGGGGAAAATATGAACCATTATCAATACTGTTTTATTCTGTATGGGAAACCTGTGTACCATTATCAACAATCCCTTGTTCTGTGCGGGAAATACACTGACCATTATCAATGACGCCTGTTTGTCGTTTGCTTGGATGTATTGTATGACAGGAAATTGAAAATGAAAAAAAAAAACCCACTGCAAATGATTTTTCTTAAAGTACAACATAGGACCATGCAGTGTGCTGATTAATTGAATTTGGAAAGGAATGAATTTTAATAAAAGTAGATACCAATCGCCTATTTGTTTCTGATTAATTTTTAACTGCCATTGATGGAATTTGGCTGTATACAGGGAGAATATAATAAAACTCTCTACATCATAACAAGTAATGGCTGCCGGTCTGACTACAAGTACATGATCTTTGTATAAAGATTCTCTTGAGAGAAATTGATGCAGAAAATGAAAGATGTCAGCGTTTCATCAGGTGAAGATTAAAAATGAATTAGCTTCATATAAAATCATATAGAATATAAAAGTTTTGGCTAGGTGGTTGCATTCAGTTTTGAAATTTCCGAAATGAGGACAATGAGATTTAAAAACTGTCTTGTCTTTCCTGATTTTTTCCTTGTGTAGAATTAGATATATCAACATTCGTGAGACACAGAACAGACTGAATACAAAACTAATGCAATATAATGAGAGCCCAAAAGCAGGCTTAATGTTTGGTTCCGTAGAACTAAAAATGATGATAATCCCTATCCATGCCCATTTTTTCTACCAGCTACTAGTGATGGCAGATACTATCTTACTTAGAGGTCAGAAGTGAAGTGGACATTTTCGCAGTGTGAAAATGCTTGTTTTTCCACGTTGAGTAAATCAGAGCGAAAATACCCTCGTGGGAGTATGCATATTCATAGATTATATAAGTACCAACTGACAAGTAAACAAAACGGTGAGCATATACAAATTCAGAATCGCCTGTTATCTACTTCGTTTGGTCTTCATTTCAAATTGAATTTTGAATTATTCTTCCAAATCTCCCTTCAGTTTGTGTGTTACCATGTTTATCCCACCTAATTTCAAATTTGTTTAACCAATCTTGCACTTGTCACACATAAGAGTACACAAGCCATTCTTGAATATCAATAATATATATCAAAATAAATACAGGGTCTCATTTGTATTGTGGGATGTTATTTTCCTCTTGCGCACATTGATTGGATTGAGTTTTAGCGGCCCTGCAGTTTTGAGATTGATTTGCTATTTACTGACTGTGAGTTTTTGTTTGGAATTATTGAGTCTCCGGGGAACTCGCCAATATATCGGTCTGCTGGATGTGTACTGAAACAAACAACGAATGCACTCTCACCATGTGGTGTAGATGTCACGTACAGATGACAAAGGATCTGTGTCGTTAAGACTAGGAGTTCTCCCAATCTCCTTTATATGAGAATACTATGATAAAAGGTATCCTTGCATGTCTTATTTCAAATAAAAGGAAGGTTACTGAAGAAGGGATGGGGTGGGGGACAAAACAAAAACAATAGAAGTACTAGTTGAAGAAGAAAATCAAGAAGTAATAAAAGAAGAAAATAAGAAAAAATAGGATTGAAAGAGGAAGAATAAAAAGGAACGAAAAAGAGGAAGAATAAAGAAGAGGAAGAAGGAAAAAAGAAGAAAAAAGCAGATAATCAGATAAAAATAAAGGAAGAATATAAGAAAAAACAAAAGATAAATAAAACCAATGTGTCCCAGGTAAAATTTGTCATTTTGCTAATTGGCAAATACTTTCAAAGTAGGGGTGAATTGGTGAAAACCGGGATGTGCTATCCACTAGTACTGAGCCATCTGACTACTCATTATTTTGATTCCTGTTCATAAGTACTGAGTGTTAGGGGTTGATGCCTGTATGTCCCTCTAAAATCTTGCTAATGTTTGCTGCTTTATACTAAAATATCTGAATTGTGCTTATTATTTTGATTCCTGTTCATAAGTACTGAGTGTAAGGGTTTGATGCCTGTCCTTCTAAAATCTTACTTACATTTGCGGCTTCATACTAACATTTTCTGAATTGTGTTAATTATTTTCTTTATTTTGTGTAATTTCAGGTCCCCTCTATTGTACGATCAGCCAAACAGCCAGACATCTTACAGTTACGTCAGCAGACACAGTTCCTGTGGGAAACCTACTTCTCTTCTGTAGAGAAAATTGTATCAACAACACTGGAGGTAAGTATCAAGCAACAATTCTAGCCAGAGTTATGTCCCTTAGCTCAAAAAATATATCCCGACAGTTTCCTTTCAGTTCTTGCATAGACACTACTTTATTCACTTTATCAGTCATAAGGTTGTTGTTTCCATGGAATTTGTTTGAAAACTCTATACATTTTTTTTTTAAAGTTATGCCCCTTTTCATGAAAATATGAAATTACTTCTTCTGAAATCCAACACTAATTATACCCCCGCAACGAAGTTAGGGGGGGGGGGGGGGTTACTGGAATCACCCTGTCTGTCTGTCTGTCGTCCGCAGTAACTTGTCCAGAAAACTCCTCCTTAATTAAAAGGTGGATTTCATTGAAACTTTTCATGAATGATCAGTATCTTATGTAGTTGTGCACCGGCATTTTAATTTGGGATTTCAACCCTTTTTGTTGGAGTTATGCCCCTTTATGAAAAATACTTGTACGCGAAACTCCTCCTTAACATACAGGTGGATTTCAGTGAAACTTTGCATGAATGATCTGTATCGTATGTAGTTGTGCATTGGCATTTTTCATTTTTGTGATGGTGGTATACCCTTTTAACGTGCGAAATACTTGTTACTGGTGGGAGACTATGTATTGCTTTGCAATGCTTTGCCTTAGAAAGCCTTTAACTTACAGTTCTCGTTTATATAGCAGCGAGGGTATTAGTTAGCCTTTGGCTTACAGTTCTAGTTTTAATGAAACTTTTTATGCTACATCAGTACTCAGGGTATCTGCTGATGGTTTGCTGTTTTTTTACTTGCAGAGCCATTTAAAATTATTTTGAGATTCATCACATCATTTGAATCATACTTTGCATACTTGATGCTAAGTTGTTTTTGGATTAATATTATTGTAGATTTTCAAGGAGGAACACATGGATGAGTGGGGTGTTCAAGTTTGCTTTTTGTCTTACTGTTCTACTTTGCACTGTAAACAAAAGATGGGTACACATACATATACATGTGCTGCGATATTTTAAGTTAAAGATAAAGATCTTGACATTGTCCCTTAAGAAGACACTCCTTTATCCCTTTGTGAAGGTTGCCATTGTCCTCTGCAGGAATGTGTTATTTTGTTCTCTAGAGACCTGTACAGAAAGATTTGTCCTAACACAACCTCCCATTGTGTGGGCTGGAGGTGCTCCGAACTTTAAGTCTGATGCTGTCCTGGCCGTCAGACTAAGGAGCTGCTGCATGGTAGTAGCTGGGATAGATGGCTATCAGTTTGTCGGTCCATGGTCTGCAGTTATTGCGATTTCCGATATGCCCAGTGGGAAAGATTAGCCAGTAATATCCCTGAAACTGACAAGAGTTGTATGCGCTGAGTATGTGATTTCTACTCTAAAACTCACATTGGAAAAGAACAAATATTCACCACTGGGTATGGTATTGGATGAAAAGTATTGAAAAATGGGCTGCAAAATTGATACACAGACTTATTATATTCCTTTTCTATTGATTTGATTCAGCTTTGTGATACTGTATAATGGGAAACTTTTGCCAAGTCAAATATTCACCCTCCACCAGTAAAATCCATATTCGCCCAGTGTTAATTTGCGCTTCACAAGTAATAACTTTACGCAGTATGTGATGTACTTTTATACACTGTCATGATAAAATCGGTCCAGTACAGAGGGCGAAAAATGTAAAAGTTAAACTGTGGCGAAAGTTACCTGGTATACAGTATTAAATCACAATTCTAACATTTCCACATCTTCGTTTGCTTTATCTGTGTACACTGCACTGTTAGGGAGGAAATCTTGGATATCGTAGAGTGCAGACCTGTAAGTGATGTCACTGTTGACTTTTTCATATGAAGGCCCTGTGAGTGACACAACTCCGCAGGTTAAATGAGGTATTTGTTTTCAATGGTTCCTCTGTGGATCAAACCAAGAACCTATGGCGTACTACTCCACAGAATGAGCTGGAGACAAATTCTCCCGAGCCAAGTCGGTGGAAAGTGGCTGCTTTTTTACCGGGGTGACATTAATTTGACAAGTTATCAAGTTAATGATATACACAACTCAAAGGGTTATTGTGATACATAACTCAAAGGGTTATTGTGCTATACAACTCGAAGGGTTATTGTGATACACAGCTCAAAGGGTATTGTGATACACAACTCGAAGGGTTATTGTGATACAACTCAAAGGGTAAATGTGATGCACAACTCAAAGGGTTATTATGATACAGAACTCAAAGGGTTATTGTGATACACAACTTAAATGGTTATTGTGATACAGAACTTAAATGGTCATTGTGATACACAACTCAAAGGGTTATTTTGATACAGAACTCAAAGGGTTATTGTGATACACAACTTAAATGATTATTCTGATACAGAACTCCAAGGGTTATTGTGATACACAATTCAAAGGGTTATTGTGATACAGAACTCAAAGGGTTATTGTGATACACAACTTAAATGGCTATGGTGATACAGAACTTTAATGGTCATTGTGATACACAACTCAAAGGGTATTTTGATACAGAACTCAAATGGTTATTGTGATACACAACTTAAATGGTTATTGTGAAACAGAACTTAAATGGTCATTGTGATACACAACTCAAAGGGTATTTTGATACAGAACTCAAAGGGTTATTTTGATACACAACTGAAATGGTTATTGTGATACACAACTTAAATGGTTATGGTGATACAGAACTTTAATGGTCATTGTGCTACACAACTCAAAGGGCTATTGTGATACAGAACCCAAAGGGTTATTGTGATACACAACTTAAATGGTTATTTTGATACAGAACTCAAAGGGTTATTTTGATACAGAACTCAAAGGGTTATTTTGATACACAACTTAAATGGTTATTGTGATACAGACCTCCAAGGGTTTTTGTGATACACAATTCAACGGGTTATTGTGATACACAACTTAAATGGTTATTTTGATACAGAACTCAAAGGGTTATTTTGATACACAACTTAAATGGTTATTGTGATACAGACCTCCAAGGGTTTTTGTGATACACAATTCAACGGGTTATTGTGATACACAACTTAAATGGTTATTGTGATACGCAACTCAAATGGTTATTGTGATACACAACTCAAATGGTTATTGTGATACACAACTCAAAGGGTTATTGTGATACACAATTCAAAGGGTTATTGTGATACACAACTTTAATGGTTATGGTGATACAGAACTTTAATGGTCATTGTGATACACAGCTCAAAGGGCTATTGTGATACAGAACTCAAAGGGTTATTTTGATACACAACTTAAATGGTTATTGTGATACAGAACTTAAATGGTCATTGTGATACACAACTCAAAGGGTATTTTGATACAGAACTCAAAGGGTTATTTTGATACAGAACTAAAAGGGTTATTGTGATACACAACTTAAATGGTCATTGTGATACACAACTCAAAGGGCTGTTGTGATACAGAACTCAAAGGGTTATTGTGATAGACATCTTAAATGGTTATTGTGATACACAACTTAAATGGTTATGGTTATACAGAACTTTAATGGTCATTGTGATACACAACTCAAAGGGCTGTTGTGATACAGAACTCAAAGGGTTATTGTGATAGACATCTTAAATGGTTATTGTGATACACAACTTAAATGGTCATTGGGATACACAACTCAAAGGGTTATTGTGATACACAATTCAAAGGGTTATTGTGATACACAACTCAAAGGGTTATTTTGTTACAGAACTCAAAGGGTTATTGTGATACACAACTTTAATGGTTATGGTGATACAGAACTTTAATGGTCATTGTGATACACAACTCAAAGGGTTATTGTGATACACAACTCAAAGGGTTATTGTGATACACAACTTAAATGGTTATTGTGATACAGAACTCAAAGGGTTATTTTGATACAGAACTCAAAGGGTTATTTTGATACACAACTCAAAGGGGTATTGTGATACAGAACTCAAAGGGTTATTTTGATACACAACTTAAATGGTTATTGTGATACACAACTTAAATGGTCATTGTGATACACAACTCAAAGGGTTATTGTGATACAGAACTCAAAGGGTTATTGTGATACACAACTTAAATGGTTATTGTGATACACAACTCAAAGGGTTATTGTGATACACAACTTAAATGGTTATTGTGATACAGAACTCAAAGGGTTATTTTGATACAGAACTCAAAGGGTTATTTTGATACACAACTCAAAGGGGTATTGTGATACAGAACTCAAAGGGTTATTTTGATACACAACTTAAATGGTTATTGTGATACAGAACTCAAAGGGTTATTGTGATACACAACTCCAAGGGTTATTGTGATACACAACTCAAATGGTTATTGTGATACACAACTCAAAGGGTTATTGTGATACACAACTTAAATGGTTATTGTGATACAGAACTCAAAGGGTTATTTTGATACAGAACTCAAAGGGTTATTTTGATACACAACTCAAAGGGGTATTGTGATACAGAACTCAAAGGGTTATTTTGATACACAACTTAAATGGTTATTGTGATACAGAACTCAAAGGGTTATTGTGATACACAACTCCAAGGGTTATTGTGATACACAACTCAAATGGTTATTGTGATACACAACTCAAAGGGTTATTGTGATACACAACTTAAATGGTTATTGTGATACAGAACTCAAAGGGTTATTTTGATACAGAACTCAAAGGGTTATTTTGATACACAACTCAAAGGGGTATTGTGATACAGGACTCAAAGGGTTATTTTGATACACAACTTAAATGGTTATTGTGATACAGAACTCAAAGGGTTATTGTGAGGGTTATTGTGATACACAACTCAAAGGGTTGATGTGGTAAAGTTAATGTTACACACAACTTCAGGAGATCATATGACCTGTAAATCCAATGGTTTATGGTTTAATTGGATTTACCATCCTATTAACAGCTTACATCCTTTAAGGATGTGTCCAAAATTTGTGTGATACAAAGTTCCAAAACGTGAAAACACAAATCAAAGGGTTGATATATGAAACATGAAAGCAATGGCCTAATGTTTTATACAGCTCCAAGTGTTAACATGACCTTCAAATCTAAGTGTTTGTTCATATTGTATGAGTGGGAAAAAAGATATTTTTGTGCAAGTCTTTGAGGACATTTTATTCATTATAATGTGCATAGATATCAAGCGTGTGATTATATGTGTTTTTCCTTATCAATGAACTGCCAGCTGACATGGTGTCCTGATATTTGTACAGGCCTCTACTGTAAATCTATCAATGGCCGCCTGTTTGTGTAACGGTATGGGATAACAACGATCTTAAGCCTGCCTGGCCATGTCATCAGTCTTTATTTATTTACATATAGCACCATTCAGATGTTTTTTCCTTGCCAGCATAGATAAGGCTTTACAGAATTTGTCGTAAGGTTTACTTAGCTGGGTATATTTAAATCAAGATTTTCACAATTAGGTCATACATGTCACATTCTTATAGGTGTCACTTCTTTGCTGTAATCCTTGTAGATTTGTGTTTTTGATAAACATCAGACACACTTGAATCATCATATGTGCCTTGACATTTAACCCATTCACCCCTGAAGACACATTTGAACCCTTCCAATTCAAAGGTTGGAATAGTTCATTATGAAGTTTCAGGGGGGAATGCGTTAAAACCGTTGAGTATTACAGGCCTATTTGGCCTCTTTTTTTTTTGTTTTGAACTTTTCAATATGTATATGAAAAGATATATTGACCAGTAGTTCTCAGAATTCACTGATTTGAATAAAATTTGTTTTTAGATCCTGAAGGACCGTGTGAGCCCCCAACCCCGATCTCCATTGTTGTGGAATAACTTCCCGGGTGCACTTGCGTTACTGTCGGAGTATTCGGATACCCTCCACCAGTACCCGTTCTTCTACGGTCCCTTGGCCCATAAACCAGGCAACCAGTTCACAGCTGTCATTTATGCAACCTCCCGCGTCCATCTGTCATCCAGCCCGCTGTTTCGGCTTATCAGGACCATCGCTAAGTCATCCAATGTGCAAAAGGTGAAGGATTGTAGCATTCTGAACTCTGACCTTTCATTCTTCATTTCCTATACCAACATAAGCATATTGGACTCTTATGTAACAGATTACAGGAGAATTGTGCTTGATCGATGATAAAATATGTGCATTCTATTTCAATCTGAATAATGTAAAAGTAATAAGTATGCCCTGACAGTATAGATAATGATGTATCCCCAAAATAGGGAGAAGGACGATTCTTTTTCTTTTTTTCTTATTTCAACACGTCGCCTTTGACACATTGTAGTGTTGGAACTTTTTTAATTTCATGACGTCATGTCAGTGCTGTCCCAGGGTGACATCATGTCAGTGCTGTCCCAGGGTGATGTCATGCATTTGAAAAGGGGTATAAGATAAAAAATAGTTGACACACATTTCTTGACACACATTTCTTATTCTAGACAATTCCATCATATATGCATACAAAGAAAAAGATGTATTTTCTGCATCCACATTCTAAACAATGAATTATTTCTTTACAGATGATTGTGCTGTGGCACTGTGACGCTCCACCACCACAGACGAACAGGTGGCCCGGGGATCTCGGACACATCTCCGTCATTGTTAAGACCAGAAATATTACGGTAACTTCAAATAAGTCATGTGGGTTCTCGCCAAGTAATTGTCAGACAGTTCATGCTAAAGTGCTTACATTTTGAGATTAGTTGTACATGTATTCGTTTATAAATGTATTAGAATTAATAAAAGTTCTATCATTAAATTCTAAAAAAGCCCCCATATAATTATACATCTGTACAAAATTAACATTCATGCAGCAAACTATGAAATATAATTGTGAAATTCATCTGTCTGTTAATTATTAAAGTCCTATAGCAGGCGAGCTTTTAACTCATTCACCCCTTAAATTTCATAATGAACTATTCCAACCTTTGAATTGGAAGAGTCCAAATGTGTCTTCAGGGGTGAATGAGTTAAGGCCCCTTGGTGTTTTGTTACATACTTGTTTGGATGGGACGTATAATGGTATGGCATTATACAGCTGTCTGCACGTAAATAGTACTTTTTATTTAAAGCATAATTATTCAATTTCACGCTTTACCAATCACACCATTTCCGATAGACATCAGGCACACCTGAATCATGACAGGTTCTCGGACAACTTTAAAAAGAATATATCTGTCTGTCCCTGCACTACTTTACGACTGTGACAGTGAAAAAATACCCTACATAACAGATAACTATGGAATGGTATTTCAGCTGAATGACGCTTGCTTAAATGGTTAAAATCTAAATACTTTAAACATCAAGATTAATTTATAATTATGATGAAAGGAAGGTATTACCCCACCCTTTTTCTTTCCCATATGAAGGACGCAAACTGAGATAAAAAAAACGCGGACACATTATTGCGATTTATTGTGATATTTGATACATGTATGAACTATTTGAACCGTCCAAAAAGATCATTCCTTCCAAAAGTCGTAGATTCTTTAGACCTGGCTACTGTAATAGAGTTAGATATTTGGAATATGTTTGCCTTCAAAATGCCTTACATATTTCAGTATTTTGAGCATGACAAAAATTCACCTCAAAACGCCCCTATCCGTTTGTCACATGGTTTTGGTGATGGTATCATTTGATTCTTTTCGATGAGATGTTTGGAATTCCATCTTCAAATAACAGTGTGCAGGGCTTTATATCAATCTCTCAAATGACGTAATCACGGATCAGTCATTACAGATTGATTGAATTTACACGAAACACACTCACTTGATATTTAAATTTATTAGAATGTTGACTAATGGATAAACTCATCCAAGTTGACTTATGAATATTCAACGATATTTACGGGTTCTGCTATTTATCATAGGTAATGAATATTTAACGATTTTTACGGGTTCTGCTATTTATCATAGGTAATGAATATTTAGTGATTTTACATGTTCTGCTCTTTATCATAGGTAATGAATATTCAACGATTTTTACGGGTTCTGCTCTTTCAAGAATATTTATGGGTTCTGCTCTTTATCATGGGTAATGAATATTCAACGATTTTTACGGGTTCTGCTTTTCATCATAAGCAATGAATATTTTACCAATTCAACAAATTTAATCATTCTTACTGATGCAGCTAATTATCTCATATGAGCTCATAAACAATGGAAGTTACCTAAAATAAATTAGCTTTCAACTTTGACAGATATTGATATTTTGACGCTTGAAATATGTATTTCAACATACTGAATGTATATTTCTTACCTGCACTTTCCAGTCAATCAGTAACCGTTTTCATCCATATCCTGAAATAACAACTGATGCTGTGTTTGGCTTTGATGAAGATAGCCTTTTGACCACGGACGAGGTAAGTGTAAGAAAGTGATCAGTCGAATATCGAAGAATTCCTTTATCTTTACATGTGACATTAAAGGTGCTGTTACATACATAATAGAATAACAACAAAAACTGTTAACAGAACCTTAACAGATATTTAAAGAAGGTGGTGAGCCAAAACATGTAAACTGGATTAAATTTAAAATGACTCCCTTTTTGGTAATCTGGTAATTTTTTCCTTGAGTTTCGATTACGCTTACGGCCCGACTATTGAATTCCATTTAGGTTACATCAACTGTGGTTAGCAGAACTTTACTGAAAATCCACTAGCGGACTTTGGCTCCTTTTCCCTTGTATTTGCTAAAAAAATCAGCAGATGAATTTCGAAGATGAAACAAAAGAAAAAGTAATTATATGTATTTGATATTTTGCAGATTGACTTCGCATTTAGTGTGTGGAAGGAGTTCCCGGAGCGAATTGTTGGCTACCCAGCGCGTGGTCATTACTGGGACAGCGCACAGAACCGCTGGAGTTACTCATCAAAGTGGACTAATGAATATTCAATGATTCTTACTGGTGCTGCTATTTATCATAGGTAATGAATATTCAACAATTCAACAAATTCAATCATTCTTACTGGTGCTGCTATTTACCATATTAAATGAATATTCATTAATTCTTACTGGTGCTGCTATTTATCATACGTGATGAATATTCAATGTTTCTTACTTACGTGCTTCAATGATTCTTACTGGTGCTGCTATTTATCACATTAATGAATATTCAACGATTCAACTAATTGATTCATTCTAACTGGTGCTGCTTTTAACCATATTAAATGAATATTCATTAATTCTTACTGGTGCTGCTATTTATCATACATGATGAATATTCAATGATTCTTACTGGTGCTTCAATGATTCTTACTGGTGCTGCTATTTATCATAAGTAATGAATATTCAACGATTCAACTAATTGATTCATTCTAACTCGTGCTGCTATTAATCATATGTAATTAATATTCATTGATTCTTACTGATGTGGCTATTCAAGATATTTTGTTGGTATATTTTATCTTTCTTTTGTTTCAGGTATTATAATTTTTTGTACACAAATTTTTTAAGTAGTGCTTTTACGGATATTGTGGACCAATCACAAAACTGTGAGGATATTCTCCTCAACTTCCTAGTCAGTCATGTGACCAAACTTCCACCAATCAAAGTGACCCATCGGAAGGTCTACAAAGAGTCGATGCTGGCCAGTAGTTCTAAATCTTCATCTTGGCTTCAGATGGACCACTTCACACAGCGCAAGTTCTGTGTAGATAACTTTGTGAAGTTATTCGGATACATGCCGCTGTTGAGGTCCAAGGCACGAATGGACCCCCTGTTGTTCAAGGATCCCGTGTCAAACTTACGTAAAAAATACCGACAAATTGAAGTTGTATGATAAACCTTTGTTAGGCTGAGACCGGAGATACTTACTGATATCAAAAGATGAAAATTTTAATTCTATTTTTGAATAACACGAAAGTTTCCTAGTTCAAACAAACTTTATCTTCAATGCCTTTGAACTTTAATTTGAAGCTCGCTCTTTAAGTTAAAAGGCATAAAAACCTTCTCTCATTTCTCTACAATACACTCTGGTGTTGTATCTGATTACACTACATCATGGTCTAGGTTTGATGACCTTTCATTCATTATCCAGATATATATAGATATGTATGTTTAAATACTTGGTAAATCATCAACAAGACAAAGACAAATACAGTTTATCATATCTAATGTTCTCAAGCTTTGTGACCATCTTTAGGGGCCTAGGGTGGTGGCTGAGTTGTTAAGGCGTCTGACCATTTATGATCACAAGCCCTCCAGCACTGAGTCATTGTGTAAAGGCCTACGTGGGGCAGTCGTCCGGTAATGGCCGCAGGTCGGTGTTTTTTCTCCAGGTACTCTGGGAGGGCTATCGTCTTCCACCAAAACCTGGCATGTCCTTAATGACCATAGCTTTAAATCGGACATAAGACACAAACAAACGGAAGCCGTCTTTAGGCCATTACTTGCCTAGTTTACAGCATTATGATGTAATATAATCAATAATGTAAGGGGAGATAATGACATTATCCAAATTCTAGGCTTAACCCTTTCACCACTGAAGACCATAATGGACTCATCCAGATCAATGCATGGTAGGGTTTACTGAAGTTACATAGGGGTGAAAGGGTTAACAACATTGAATTTTTATCCATTAAGCCTCAGTTTGAACAAACATGTCCTCTTTGAAATAGTCTTTTTATGATATTTGAATCGTTTATTTCGTGGAAGGGATAAACCTTGAATAATCCCTTGCCATGGGTATACTGCATAGAATCAAAAACTGAACATTAAGTAAAGTTTATTGATTGGCCTGAGTGAAAGGTTACCAGAACTTGACCCCACATGTAGTGTTATAAGATCTGGAGTGTCTTTTTAGATATAGTTTTGATGTTTGAGATACATTAGAGTGGCTACCTCTAGTCTCTGCCTAATCTCACCTTACATGACCTAACCAATTTGCATATGTGATGTATCCTAAGCTATTGCAGGTGTTTTAATTAAAATGAACTTTCATGAATATATATGTGTATACAATTGCTTATATATGTGATACTGTACGGCCTTGTGGAGCGATGTTGACCTGTATATGCCACCAAGCGACATTGAAGAGTGAGTGGCTAGCTACCCATATACTTGTATGTGATATTGTACAGCCTTCTGGAGTGTGTGACTGTGGCTAGCTAGACTTGTATAACTGTGTGTGATACTGTGTGACGTTAAGGAGTGTGTGGTTAGCTGATACTGTGTGATGTTAAGGAGCGTTTGGTTAGCTAATACTGTGTGATGTTAAGGAGCGTTTGGTTAGCTAATACTGTGTGATGTTAAGGAGCGTTTGGTTAGCTAATACTGTGTGATGTTAAGGAGGGTGTGGTTAGCTGATACTGTGAGACATTAAGGAGTGTGTGGTTAGCTGATAGTGTGACGTTAAGGATTGTGTGGTTAGCTGATACTGTGTGATGTTAAGGAGTGTGTGGTTAGCTGATACTGTGTGATGTTAAGGAGTGTGTGGTTAGCTGATACTGTGTGACATTAAGGAGTGTGTGGTTAGCTGATACAGTGTGACATTAAGGAGTGTGTGGTTAGCTGATACTGTGTAACGTTAAGGAGTGTGTGGTTAGCTGATACTGTGTGATGTTAAGGAGTGTGTGGTTAGCTGATACTGTGAGACATTAAGGAGTGTGTGGTTAGCTGATACTGTGTGCCTGCACTGACCACCTGACCCCTGGTCCCAGGCTCTGGAGGTAATCACATCAATTTGGTTTCCGTGGTGAACTAACCATACAGTCTCACAGATCTGTGGAGGGTGTATCTGTAGCCATGATTCCTTTGTCTGTCGCCTGATGAAGTGTCTGTCACAGTGTTAATTCTGACTGAGACCTATTATCAACCAATAGCGTTTGTCAGCCATGCCCCTCTCAAGATGCTCACACGATAATCCATCTGGCCTCCTTACATGTGATTATCCAACACCTTATCGTATACCGACCTGACCCCATTCTGTAATGATGATACCCAACACCTCATCAATAACCCACTGTTGTCTGTAATGACAATACCCTACTTCTGAATGAAAACCCACCTGGCTTATACCCTGTTCCTTATGATGATAACCCATACCTCATCAATAACCCAAGTGACCCCAGTCCATATGTGATGTCCCACACCTTGTCAATAATCCACCTGACCCCAGTCCATATGACATTGCCCCACACCTCATCAACAACCCACCTGACCCCAGTCCATATGACGTTGCCCCACACCTCATCAATAACCCACCTGACCCCTGTCAGTATGATGATGCCCCACACCTTGTCAATAACCTACCTAACCCCATTTCTAATGATGATGCCAAACACCTCAATAGCCCAGCTAACCCCAGTTTTCATGACCATTCCCCATACCTCATCAATAACCCACCTGGGTCACACTGTTACTTTTGGCGAAGCCCCAGACCTCATCAATAACCCACTGGGCTCTGTATTAACAATACCCTACTTTTAAACAATAACCCACCTGGCTCACACCTGTGAATTTTGACGATGCCTCAGACCTCATCAAAAACCCATCTGACCCCATTTCCTATAGTCCATATGACAACCTTATCAACAATCCACCTAACCCCAATCCATAAGACAATGGTCTCCAGACAATGGTCTCCAGACAATGGTCCCCCCCCCCCTCCCATTGTCAACTCTGCTGTCCATAGGAACACCTTACAGAGTCGGGACATAGGACATTCTAAGGAATTGTGGCTGATTTTTTTTAATTTACAAATTTAAAACCATATGTGATAACCATTATTTTAAATGCTGAGATATAAGTATGTTATATGTTCCGATTATTTTTTACCGACTGTATGCTGTTGAAATGGATGTGTTCAAGAAATACGTATGCTAGATCAAAACAGAGGTCTGTAAGAAGAATGTGCTGATTTATTGTGTGATGTCTATACCATTTATATGTAATATACTGTTATTGACCTAATAAGCGCCCAATCCAATTTAAGCACCTCTCCCATCCTCCACCCCTTCTCCCACCATCCCCCAATCCTTTTCTGTTCAGAGCATCCAGTCCTTCACTATATATAGTGTTGACAACTTCATAAAACATTGTCTTGAAGGCTCTGCAGATATTCTTTGTTAAACTGTTCAATTGTTTAGAACACAGTGCGTTTTATAGGTCAATTACAGAAATTATTGCTATGAATTTAGGACCAACCGCGAAATAATACATACATGTCTGTCGAGTGCCAGTGAAAAATGTCTTTTAAAATGTGACTCATCATTTGAACAGTCTTGAAAGTATTCCCAGGAGGGATTTTAAGTTAAGTATTTCGATTGAACTCGTTCACCCGTGAAGACAAATTTGAACTCTTCAAATTCAAAGATTGGAATAGTTTATCATGCAATTTCAGGGGTGAATGAGTTAAGTGAAAAATTAAAAGACGATTTTTTTTTAGACAGCATTCACTAATTGGACATGATTGACATTACATTATTTGAGTAGGTACTTAATGTAATTATGCTGTGTGTGCTTTTTAATCCTAAAGTATGGATGAAAATAAGTAGAACAGATTTTAACATGAATTTTTTAGTCTATGTGCTTAACCGATATGATATGCGTCTTTAACGCTTAAAAGGTTGTTCACGTGAGGAACGATATTTTTAACAAAGTCTTTCAGTTTGGCCATTTTGTATGTGAATATAGATTATGATGTCACTTTATCATGTATTCGTAGGCGGTGTTACAGAGTCATGCTGGGGCCAGTTATACATCTAAGTTCATTTCGCAAACCATTCACACGTGATTAGAAAATTGTATAGAAATGTGACTTCATTATTGTCATGGTTTCATTGCTGAATTGTATATCTGCTAAACATTGTCCCATAATCAAATCCTTCTGTATTGTAATGTTGTATTCCATGTTTGTAATGTTCTATGCCAAGCTATTTGCAGTGTAACCTTCCTGGTCCGATTCTTGTGTATCCTCTGTTCTGTAGACATGCTGTAGCCACTTTTTAATCCTTCATTATACCTATGAAAATTACAAATTACCTAAAAGAAAGTAAGTTATGAGTACTTCCCAAGGACACGTTTCAACACATATTCACCTTTACTAGGGGCCTGTTTCATTGATGCGGAACAACTGCTTTGTCCGTCTTTAAATGTAACATTTTCGGGTATAAATCCTGGTGGACCTACAAATGTTTATGCAGGCTTTGTCAAGGCTCGCCTCAAAGCAGCATCAGATTACTAGGTCTGACCTATTTAATAAATGAACAACTTTGGTCAAACCGGTTCAACCGTTTAAATGAAAACAGCCTAGAACTGAACGAAGTAAATATGATACACAACGAGAATCTGAAACTTACCAAGAGCTTTCATCCCCTGCCCTGAGCCCTGATCACCATTCTGCTAGATCCTGATAGAAATGACAGTTAAGAGTCTTGGAATATTTGGGAATAGTTTTCTCTCCAATAGACATGTGTTTAACCTAAGAAGAGCTGGTCGTCCATTTTCTTATCTGGGCCCAGTTGTTCAAAAGGTGATTAGCTTAATCAGTGATTAGCCCAAATTTGTAATTTTTGAGTAACTTTAAAACACAATCATTGAATTAGTTACAACTTTCCAGATATCAAATGTTTAGTAAATTGAGTTTATATGCAAAATTGTGAGATTTTACCTTGAATATTGACGAAATTATTAAAGGGTGAAAAATGTTGATAAACAGTGAATAAGCTAACCACCTTTTAAACAACTGGGCCCTGGATAGCTTTATGCTTCTTTCTATCGCATGTTCCTCTTTGCCCCAAAAAATGATAGAAGTTCAGGCAAGCCATTGTTTCTTTATAGTTGTACAGTAAAATCAGACCCCTGGAAGGACCAGTAGCTCAGTTGATGTCCTCTGTTTTCTTATTTTGATATCCATATGCCTTTTTTCAACCGCATATTTCTCTTGTCAAAAAAAACAAATGGCGGCAGTTCATTCAAGCAAATTATGAATTAGTTTTAAAACAAAACCTGTCCTAATCAGACCTAATTGGGATGTGACCTGCCGATCTTATCTTTTGGCAACACCAGTAGCTCTCATAATTAATTAACTAATTTTGTTTAAATTCATCAGAGATTTTGTCAGTGCGGTGACGATTCCTTTACGTTGTATGAATGGTACATTTGTAATTAGACATTAAAACCTTCTTTTTTGCATCATTAACTCATTCACCCCCGAGGACAAATTTGAACCCTTCCAATTTAAAGGTTGGAATAGTTCATTATGAAATTTCAGGGGTGAATGAGTTTAATTCTGTATAGAAATGATGTACTGGAATCTTGATAATTGAAATCTGGAACAAAAAATGCTGTTTAATGTTGTCAGCGATAAGAAAAATTACATAAATCAAATAGCTGATGTGTTGTGTTATATATTGTAAATATGTGCTGTGTTGTAAACATCCTATGTGTTACAAAAATCTGATTTGATGTAAACATCCATGTGTTGTAAAAATCTGGTATTTTGTAAACGTCTGGAGTGTTGTAAACACTCAGTTGTTGAAATCCTCGTCTGTTGCCGCATTTTTTGTTCATACTTATTCATATTAAAAATTCATAAAACTTGCCCTATCGGGTTTCGGGCAGATGAGCCTGACCTACTATAGAAAAGGTGTATAGTTGTGTAGGAAAAAATTGCATAAATGTTGTTCAGACATTGGCGCCTTGCTGTAGACATATGAGTTCAGATGTTGGCGCCTTGCTGTAGACATGTGTCGTATTGTAAATTAGACAAAGTGCCTTTTATGATCAGTACCTCTCATCGTAACGTTACATAATTACTACAGCCACCATGGTCTTCGTACATTCTCACTCTGTAATCTTCTTTATCACATGTCTGCTCACGTTACAACAGGCCCGGAGTAGCATTTTGTATATACAAGTAAGTTCCTGTGGCCTACGTCTTAGGCTAGAATGGTCACCATAATCACAGACGGTAGATTGTGAGCTAAATACGTAGAAATGTCAAACCAGTTGTCACATAGGAAGAGAGAGATTCTGTTTTTCTGATCTAGTGTGTTTCTGTTTCCGCAGATAATTTTTTATTGTAATTTATTTTTTGTAGGGGTTTTATATAACATGTACGCTGCATAATGAATATTCATGATACAATTGGTATATAAATATATCTACATTTATGTGTATTGTAATGTATGGTCCAAATAAAACAAACGCTGTTATAGACCGGCTACTGGGAATAGTCTCTGTAGACCACCAGGTGGCGCTATTAGGAATGATGTCAGCCTCTGTAGACCACCAGGTGGCGCTACTAGAAGTGACGTCTGCCTATGTAGACCCCAGGTGACACAACTAGGAGTGACTTGAACCTGTAATTTATTCAAGGATAAGTTAATTACACAATTTTAGTAAGTGACATGATAAAATCAAGATAAATTTGTCCACTTCATGATGAATGATTGTGATATCCATTTTATTGAGTTTTGAGATATAACCTAACCTGCCTTGCTGAAACTTTTAGTTTATACTTGAGAAATGACTAGATATCATTATTACGTATCATTCAATGAATACCTGCTATGTGAGTAAACTCAGTTTTGCAGATATACCACAATAAGTTAGTGATATAAACATATAATTTATCATGTACACTACAACCAGATCAATGATTCTACATATATATTTATGCTGGTAAAATCATTTCACTTTGGTCATCAGTACATTTATTAAAACTAAATCCATTTCAATATTTTCTTTCCAGTTAATCATATTTGATTTTGAACAGAATTAAATATTTAAGAAAAACAACATGCTTTCTTACTTAATTTGTTCTTAAATTTTCATTTTCTATTTTTTTTTTTTTGCATTTTCAAATGCTGTAAAGGGTTGTAATTGATGAATATTTCAGCAAATGTTGTTATGGTCCTATAACACACATTGCTATTGATGACAAACTAAACAAAGCCCAACAGGACTTGATTGATGGTGTTCTTGGTAAGAACAAATTATCAACTAACATAACTAAGGTTATTAGGTAGTGATGGCATTTTGATGAAAATCTTCCACTTGTTGATGGCTTGTATTGCCTAATTAAAGCGATGGTTGTGAACCATATTTTAAAGAAGGCCATTTCGAAAGTTAGAAATATTCTTGGGCATTTTATAAAATATTTGATTTAATTTATATTCATTACCATACCAAAGAATTATATGACCTAACAAGTATTTACCACCTGTAGGAGTTCATTGTTCTGCGTGGAATACCTGTCTGGATTCCGCGTTGAATACCTGTCTGGATTCCGTGTGGAAAACCTGTCTGGATTCGCTGATTAAATTATTTTGTTATATACCTTTTCTGTAATTATGATGCAGGATTTTTGTTATGGTAAAAAAATGGGTGAAATATAATTCCGTTATAATAATCCTATTCAATACGAGTAAAATGAGTCATTAACGTAAATTTTCAAAATGTGATTTTGAGAAAAATCTGAAAATGAACAAATATTATGTTTTCAGGTTTCGGGTAAAAAAATAATAATCTGCAAATAAATTTATTTTTGAATGTCATTTTTTACAACTTTTATGGTATGTAGAGTTTTGCAGTTATTTTGTCTAGAGCTAATCATGCTTATCATGTTTAAAACAATTTTGTGCAGTAAGACAAAGAAAGTCCTGTTCTATACTGAAAACGACAGCGATCATTTATATATTGTAGAATTTACATGTACAATGTAGTAGACAAATCTTCAAATTGCTCTCTCACAAAAAATCAAAAATCTTAACAAGAAATTATTTATAGTATTTAATCCAAGTAATTGTCCTGAAAAATTAATATACTGGTAATAATATCCCATAAAGGGTTGACTTTCTAGAAGGTAAAATTAAATTGAAAAAAAAAAATTGTTTTAAGACCGTACATTGTAACAAGGAAATGTTTATACTGGAGGTTAGAAATCGTAGGTATTTGTTTAACTAAATTAACTCATTCACCCCTGAAATTTGTAATGAACTATTCCAACCTTTGAATGAAATTCAAATGTATCTTTAGGGGTGAATCTCTTTCAGATAACATGTACTAATTTAACCCTTTCACCACTATAGACCATAATGGACTCATCCAGATCAATGCATAGTAAAGTTTACTTAAGTTACATAGGGGTGAAAGGGTTAAGGAAAGAAACCCAGACTCATTCTTCTTGAGATATTTTAAAATATTTATTTTGTAAACAAAATTTTAGTTTTTAAATATTTATTGATTATTTTGTGCCAAATTGAGCCACATACACCTAATTTTACCCTTTAATTTGCATCTTGTTTTTAACTGATAAGCACATTGAACAATTTTATTGGTCCATGAGAACCAGAAAAAACCGGTATCAAATGTGTCCGATTGGAAGGGAAGCCTTGTCACCCCATTATCATAGTAAACCCATTCTAGACTGTTACCTTACTAACCCTCATCATTTTAGGGGTTGAATTTAGATCTGAACATACGTTTTTTCCCCCTTTGACTGGGACTTAGTGACGGATCCAGAGGCCAATCTGGGGGGATTATTAATGAGGGAAAATTGGGGTAAATGTATTGCCTTGTAATCCAGGCTTGAGGAGGTCACGGGGGTTATTCCTGAAACCCAGAAAATCCCTCTAGATCCGCCACCGAGATGCAACGTATTTAATGATGGTTTGGAGTTTTGATTGGTCAACAGTTATTTTGGACTAATTGTCACGTTGATGTTGTGTTATGGATGGTGACAAGCGAGAATGTAAATCTAACTTGATGGGCATCATTATATACCAAATAACATGTTTTTATAGCAATCGAACAAACTATACTTTGCCATACAAAGACAGCATCAAATCACATGTACTGTATTATCAATAAACTGGAAAAACATTTGAAAACAAAATGTGTTGAGTTGTGTTGTGTTGTTGTTGTTGCTGCCTCAAAACTGACATCTAAAAGTTGTTCAGGTACAGACCATTAGCAAATCTTCATTCCATAGGAAGGGAGGTTAACATAGGCTTTCAAGGACTTGCAGAACTAAATCATTTACTATATGTTATTACCAAACAATTTAGCTAATAACTTAAATATCTGAAGTTCAAAACCAGTGACAACTGTCTAGATTCATTAATACATACCTTGCAAAGGCTACAAAATGACTTTTTTGGTAGGTTTAGTGGCATATTGGAGTGTCGCAGCGTTAAGAAGTTGACAACCGGAAGTTTACAAGCAAAACCGTTGACCCAAAACAGTAACGCCCCCAGACATTTTGCCCCTGTGCAAATCCACACACAGACATGGAAATATATCAATAGTATACATTTTTCAAAAGTTAAATACCTGAACATTTAATTTATCCAAAAATCTGTCCTCAGTTCCTTATTAAACTCCTTCAGTGGCCCAGTAATTAGCCGGAACTTATTTTAGATAGGAACTATAAACGTATCTGATTGGCTGATTTAGTTGTGCGAGTCCTTTAAAGCCTGTTGTCAAATCCTTTACCATTCATTCTATTGTCAATAAAATTTGGTGAAAAAATATACCATTGGGATGAGTATTTTGAAATATTTAAATAAAATAATGAATTTGTTATTGATATTTTACCCCTTTAATGGCAACATAATTTGTTGGAAAAAATTATACCATTGGTATTTTTTGGAAATATTGAATGAAGTTAAAAGTTTTTGAAAACAAAAAAGGACAAATGTAGTCAAACCTGCCTATGTGACCACTTTATGCTTCTCCATTGTAATGAATTCATTGTAATTTGATCAGCATCCCTGTACCACTGCCAAAAACTGAAGCTATGGTTTTTTTTCCAGCATCACTATATATATAGCTTCAGCTTTGATAAATCATTTCTGAAAAAAAACCCATACCTTGTGGGACTTTTATGAAAAAAATATTAAAGAGATGAAATAAATAAAACATAATCAACAAGAATGTTCGGAGAGTAAAAAATTCCAGCAGGGCTAGTTTTGGATTTAAATACTAGACTTCTGATTGTTATACTATCACTGTAACTGATGGAGCTACCTGGACAACGGAAGTGGACTAGCCCAACTGAAAAGGGAAGTTAAGGGGAGGTAACCGTCGTATCCAAAGGGAAGTTAAGGGGAGGTAACTGTCATATCCAAAGGGAAGTTAATGGGAGGTAACTGTAGGAAAAACGGTAATCTGAAGAGAACACATATTAAACTTTTACACATTATAAATGTAGCTTTCCAGGAATTATTGTAAATGAATAGTTTCAAATGAAAAGATGAATGTGTGCCAAGGAAGGTAACTCTTTAGTCTGGAAAAAAGAAGGAGGTTTTATGAAAATCAAAGCGTTCCTAATTATTGGCCAAATAAAATTAACTGATCTGGCTCAGGCTGCGATAGCTTGCCTTTATCTACATGTAGTATATATATATTGGTGAATGCAAATTCAGGCTGTGCTCTTCTCTATATCAGGTATATACCTGTGAATGAAAACTCAGGATATTGGATCTTGCCTATATCTGGTATAAATTTGTTTATGGAAATTCAGGCTGTGCTACAGCCTAACATACATACTTACATGTATATATTCTGTATGTGAATGAAAAGTCGGGCTGAACTCGCAGATGAATATTAACTAACAAACACAAAAACACTGAAAGTTCAATCATGAAAAACCTTTAATCTGTGATGTATGTTAGAAGCAAGTATATTTGAAACCCTTTTTGATATGAATAAATATATATAATTATGCAAGATTGTCCATTTTGGATACAGATCCAGTTCTGGTAGAGGTCCAGTTTGGAAATGCTCAAAGTATTTATGAGAATCTGAATCACAAGATGATCTGGTTCTTGTAGCTGCCGCTCAGAGCTTTGTCGGGCAGAACGATGGAGTTCAGGATCATCACTTCGGATGGTACTGTTACATTGGATCCTGTCAACACCAAAGGGACACAATAATTAGCATTACAGTAAACGGCAGGAATAAGGCCAAGTATAATGGCGCGAGACAAAATCTCATACTGAGACGTCCTAGCTTAATTCATAAGGGTAATAAACTCTGATTGCAATGTTGCGTTTTGGAAGTTAGCTGAGGCGAGGTGTCGCCTTACATCCGGTGGAAACAAATTTTAATACATCGTAAGACAAGTTGTTTTCATTTGTAAACCCACTTTCAAAAAACGCTTTCACTCCAAAAAGAAAATTTAATTAAAATCGACGGGTAGCTTAATTATTATTTTTTTGCAATGAAAACAATAATTTTCCATTTCTACTGACATATCAAACCCTGTTCAAACACGAAATTTGAGTACTGAAAGTAACAGAGTTTATTCATTTTTATTCAGAGTTGGCGATTGGTGTTGAAATATCAGCTTTGTGAAACTGGCCAAAAAAGAACAAGCTAGAGAAAGTTTGAGCTCCCATGGGCCATTTTTCTGAAAACATCACCATGGCAATGTCAGTTTCTGTAGTGTAGCCTGGGTTACATCATTGATCTTTTTTACATGTTTCATGTGCCTCTGATGATGGCACAGTCCATTACAACCTGTTTTTACGGTAAAAAAGTGTGGTCCCTCATGTGTGATGCAAACCGAGAAATTTCAATCCTCAGGACGAAAAAGATTTTTGAAGTTTAACACTCAGTAAACCCTTCTGCTAAATTTCATAATTCTTCCTCTACAGTACGATACACAATACTTTTTGGGAGGTTACGATACACCTACAATATTTTCAGGATTTTGTCATTTCTGAAGAATGACGGCGCCAGCTCAGCATGCACATTGAAAGGCGTGAATTGTGCGAAACTTTTAAGTCATGCTCATTTTACACTAAGTCTATTTCCAGACATCTACTGTAACTATATATATTGTGATAAGTATTGTATTGTGACCACAGTATCGTGATACGTATTGTATCGTCATGTTAATGTATCGTTGCAGCCCTACTATATACTTACCTATAACAGTTATAGAGGGATTAAGTTTGCCCTCTGAAGTAAATGTGGAGGTGGTCTCTATCTTGGCGAAGGGTTTGTTGGGGTTGGGGTCGTTTGGTGTTCCCTCTATCCGTGTCCACAGACCCACCGTACTGTTCCAGCCTATCACACTGTGCAGCACACAGCAGTGGTCCTGAAACAGAGGAGAAAAACGTATTGTTTTAGGTTTCAATTCACTTACACATAAAAAGTATTTTTATGTGAAATTTGACTAATGAAACAAGTGGTATCTCTAGATCGCCATGACAGGATGTGTTTTGCAATTTAAGAATTTTTTCCCCAAGGGTTGAGAATCCCTTACCTCACCCTCAAGGGGGTGAATGTCTCTTTTTCTCTTACCCTGTTCTCCCATTGTGTATCATATAAACAGTTTTATGTTAACGTTACAGGCTAAATTCAGGGTTGGCGTGAAATCATTGTAATGTTGACGTGAAGTCATTGTTTTGTTGACGTGAAGTCATTGTTATGTTGACATTAAGTCATTGTAATGTTGACTTGAAGTCATATCATTGTGTTATGAATTGTATTTATCAGGGGAGTAAGATGGTATCTAAAAACTTCCTCCAGAATTCACTGCGATATTTCCTACCTGAAGTGAAGCTCCCTCCAGGATGATGGACTCTCTCACACGGACTCCCTCTCCAACTGTGGCGTGTTTTCCGATTGTCACATTAGGTCCCAGCTAGAAACCACAGCACAATGGTTGAAGACCAAAATCAATGTTTAAAAAATAAAAATCATATTTATTTTCATTGGAGCTGAAGTTTAAAGTTTCGGTGAAATATTGTTACAAACAATGATTGAAACAGGATCAACATCACTGTTGAATTATTTTACCTCTAGTGAAAATCCTGTAATCTGATTAGTTGAAACAAATTATTCATTACACAATCTCACATTCTAACATCAAGTCGATGGAAGGGTGCTTCCCAATGCCCTAGCGACGGGCGACAGTGTGGTGTAACAGTGCAATATAGTGATCGTGCAAAGAAGATGGGCGTACGGTTCGTTTTAGCGACCTTTTTCTTTCCTTGCGATTCACCGTGCATGTAGGCCTACAGGCATTCCATGTCACTACTGTGTATTACTCACCGGTGATTAATACCATGTGTTAACACTGAAATGAGTTGATTAAGTAAACTTGTAACAGGTCATCTGCTAGATAAACACAGGCATACTCGGAAATGTGGAAAATGATGCAGTAAGAAATTGCACTGCCAAACCGAGATTCCAACCCAGGGACCACTAAACTCTAGATGGACGCTCTAACCAATCGACCCAGTCCAGTTCTGTTGCTTTTAAATACCCTAAAATTTCGAAACTGAGCCGCGGCTTATTTTCGTTTGTTGGTAAGGCCTTCCAGGCTTATATTCAAAACCAGCAATACTTTCAAGACAATCTTACTTTGAAGATATATTTGACTCCCAGGGTAATTTTCAAAGTCAGCCTATTTCAAATCAGGATTACTGTCAACATTAAGGGTACCTGCATATTCACTGTAGAGTGGAACTGTACTTACCACAGCTGTGGGATGGACCTGTGCCGTAGGGTGTATATACACATCTCCTCGGACTGTAGGACAATCTTCTTTGCTTTTAGCAAGCCTCTCCGGGTGACTAGTTCTATATATAGCCAGGTAATGTCTATTTGCGTAAATAGCAGCTCTGTCGCAAAAAGAGAAAATTGCTTGATATACAAAATGTATATCTGATTGACTAATATAAAATCTTTACACATAAGAAGAATTTGCGTATAATAATTAAAATTTGATTAAACTTATCAGTTAAGGTAAAGGGTACCACTGCATAATTTAATATTGCATAGAAGAATTCCACTCAAAGGTGTTTTTTACCTGGAGTATTCTCCCTTCTTTATTAAACATGATGCTGCTGACTAAAAGGGGTATTTCAAGTATTAGAGTAGCTTCCCCTGTCACATTATGTATTGTTTAATGCTATACTGCCCATAAATTTGACATTCATTATGATGCTGTGCATTTATAATTCTTTGATGGCAATATTGGTAAAGTAAAGGCTTTGTAATATAAAGGTTCCGAGTTATTGGCTGGTACCTACCCTGATAGTCCGAATTATTCTGACGTTTTATTGACTTTTTTAATATCGGTCTGTTGTCGATTAACAACGTTAATCGACGACAGACCGATATGAAAAAAGTTGATAAAACGTCAGAATAATTCGGACTACTACCATGAGGACTTAAATCTGACTCCAGAATCGGTCAGTGTGGTGAGCATACAGTATAAAGGTTCTGCGTGATTGGCTGGTACCTACCCTGAGGACTTGATCTGACTCCAGAATCGGTCAGTGTGGTGAGCGTACAGTATAAAGGTTCTGAGTGATTGGCCGGTACCTACCCTGAGGACTTAATCTGACTCCAGAATCGGTCAGTGTGGTGAGCGTACAGTATAAAGGTTCTGAGTGATTGGCTGGTACCTACCCTGTTCACTTAATCTGACTCCAGAATCGGTCAGTTTGGTGAGCGTACAGTATAAAGGTTCTGAGTGATTGGCTGGTACCTACCCTGTTCACTTAATCTGACTCCAGAATCGGTCAGTTTGGTGAGCGTACAGTATAAAGGTTCTGAGTGATTGGCCAGTACCTACCCTGAGGATTTGATCTGACTCCAGAATCGGTCAGTTTGGTGAGCATACAGTATAAAGGTTCTGAGTGATTGGCTGGTACCTACCCTGTTCACTTAATCTGACTCCAGAATCCGTCAGTTTGGTGAGCGTACAGGATAAAGGTTCTGAGTGATTGGCCAGTACCTTCCCTGAGGATTTGATCTGACTCCAGAATCGGTCAGTTTGGGGAGCGTACAGTATAAAGGTTCTGAGTGCAGTGTGGTGAGGGTACAGTACAAAGGTTCTGCGTGATTGGCTGGTACCTCCCCTGTTCACTTAATCTGACTTCAGAATCGGTCAGTTTGGTGAGCGTACAGAATAAAGGTTCTGAGTGATTGGCTGGAACCTACCCTGTTCACTTAATCTGACTCCAGAGTCGGTCAGTTTGGTGAGCGTACAGTATCAAGGTTCTGAGTGATTGGCTGGTACCTACCCTGTTCCCTTAATCTGACTCCAGAATCGGTCAGTGTGGTGAGGGGACAGTACAAAGGTTCTGAGTGATTGGCTGGTACCTACCCTGAGGCCTTGATCTGACTCCAGAATCGGTCAGTGTGGTGAGGGTACAGTACAAAGGTTCTGAGTGATTGGATGGAACCTACCCTGTTCAATTAATCTGACTCCAGAATCGGTCAGTGTGGTGAGGGTACAATACAAAGGTTCTAAGTGATTGGCCGGTACCTACCCTGAGGAGTTAATCTGACTCCAGAATCGGTCAGTTTGGTGAGCGTATAGTATAAAGGTTCTGAGTGATTGGCTGGTTCCTACCCTGTTCACTTAATCTGACTCCAGAGTCGGTCAGTTTGGTGAGCGTACAGTATCAAGGTTCTGAGTGATTGGCTGGTACCTACCCTGTTCCCTTAATCTGACTCCAGAATCGGTCAGTTTGGTGAGCGAACAGTATAAAGGTTCTGAGTGATTGGCCAGTACCTACCCTGAGGATTTGATCTGACTCCAGAATCGGTCAGTTTGGTGAGCGTATAGTATAAAGGTTCTGAGTGATTGGCTGGTACCTACCCTGAGGCCTTGATCTGACTCCAGAATCGGTCAGTTTGGTGAGCGTACAGTATCAAGGTTCTGAGTGATTGGCTGGTACCTACACTGAGGACTTGATCTGACTCCAGAATCGGGCAGTTTGGTGAGCGCACAGTATAAAGGTTCTGAGGTATTGGCCGGTAACTACACTGAGGAATTGATCTGACTCCAGAATCGGTCAGTGCGGTGAGCGTACAGTATAAAGGTTCTGAGGGATTGGCCGGTACCTACCCTGCGGGCTTGATCTGACTCCAGAATCGGTCAGTGTGGTGAGCGCACAGTATAAAGGTTCTGAGTGATTGGCTGGAACCTACCCTGTTCACTTAATCTGACTCCATAATCGGTCAGTTTGGTGAGCGTACAGTACAAAGGTTCTGAGTGATTGGATGGAACCTACCCTGTTCAATTAATCTGACTCCAGAATCGGTCAGTGTGGTGAGCGCACAGTATAAAGGTTCTGAGGTATTGGCCGGTAACTACACTGAGGAATTGATCTGACTCCAGAATCGGTCAGTGTGGTGAGGGGACAGTACAAAGGTTCTGAGTGATTGGCTGGTACCTACCCTGTTCCCTTAATCTGACTCCAGAATCGGTCAGTGTGGGGAGCGTACAGTATAAAGGTTCTGAGTGCAGTGTGGTGAGGGTACAGTACAAAGGTTCTGCGTGATTGGCTGGTACCTCCCCTGTTCACTTAATCTGACTTCAGAATCGGTCAGTTTGGTGAGCGTACAGTACAAAGGTTCTGAGTGATTGGATGGAACCTACCCTGTTCAATTAATCTGACTCCAGAATCGGTCAGTGTGGGGAGCGTACAGTTTAAAGGTTCTGAGTGATTGGCTGGTACCTCCCCTGAGGACTTGATCTGACTCCAGAATCGGTCAGTGCGGTGAGCATACAGTATAAAGGTTCTGAATTATTGGCTGGTACCTACCCTGAGGACTTAATCTGACTCCAGAATCGGTCAGTTTGGTGAGCGTACAGTACAAAGGTTCTGAGTGATTGGCTGGTACCTACCCTGTTCACTTAATCTGACTCCAGAATCGGTCAGTGTGGTGAGCATACAGTTTGCCTGTGTTTGCGAGTGGTATAAAAATCTCCTGCTCTAGACGAATCATCTCCTTAGAAGGTAAATTTGGGTCATAGCTGAAAAAGATGTTGTCAGATTGTAAGGTTTTAAGGATGTGATACTCATTTAAAACTTGAAACAGTAAATTGTTTGAAATGATTAATTCTGTATGATTCTGTATAATTCCGTATAATTCTGTATTAATGTATCAGGTGGAAAATTATGAAGCCTGTCATTTGAGTCCAAGGACAGATTCGGGTAGAGAGGAAGGGAATGAGTTACTAAGGGCCAAAGCACAGAGTTAACTTTGGGGTGGAGTGTGAGTCAATAGGGCCCAAGGACAGAGTTAGCTTGGTTGTAGGTGGTGACTCGCAAGAGCCCAAGGGACAGAGCTAACTAGGGTGGTGGAGAATAAGTCACAGGGGCCCTAGGATGGTGGAGAATGAGTTACTGGGGTCCAAGGACAGAGTTAACTAGGGTGGTGGAGAATGAGTTACTGGGGCCCTAGGATGGTGGAGAATGAGTTACTGGGGTCCAAGGACAGAGTAAACTAGGGTGGTGGAGAATGAGTTACTGGGGCCCTAGGACAGAGTTAACTAGGGTGGTGGAGAATGAGTTACTGGGGTCCAAGGACAGAGTAAACTAGGGTGGTGGAGAATGAGTTACTGGGACCCATGGACAGAGCTAACTAGGGAAGTGGAGAATGAGTTACTGGGGCCCTATGACAGAGTTAACTAGGATGGTGGAGAATGAGTTACTGGGGTCCAAGGACAGAGTAAACTAAGGTGGTGGAGAATGAGTTACTGGGACCCATGGACAGAGTTAACTAGGGTGATTGCGGATGAGTCACTGAGCCCAAGGACAGAGTTAACTAGGGTGATTGGAGATGAGCCACTAGGGCTAAATGACAGCTAACTAGGGGGGATGAGTCACTGGGCCCAAGGGCAGAGTTAACTAGGGTGGTGGAGAATAAGTTACTGGGGCCAATAGACAGAGCTAACTAGGGTGATTGGGGATGAGTTACTGGGGCCCAAGGACAGAGTTAACTAGGGTGGTGGAGAATGAGTTACTGGGACCCAAATGACAGAGCTAACCAGGGTGATTGGGGATGAGTCACTGAGCCCAAGGACAGAGTTAACTAGGGTGATTGGAGATGAGCCACTAGGGCCAAATGACAGCTAACTAGGGTGATTGGGGATGAGTCACTGGGCCCAAGGGCAGAGTTTACTAGGGTGATTGGGGATGAGTCACTGGAATTCAAGGACATAGTTAATTAGGGATTGGAGTTTGAATTACTAGGTTGATGGGATTGAACTATCGGTACTTCTGAACATTTAAAAGGATATGAGTTGAGAAGAGTAACATATGACATATAAACTGCATATACAGAAATATATTGCCAGTATCTACATCTTGAATGTACATAAAACTTATCTACATCAATCAAATATCATTTTCTTACAACAGTAATCGGCTTCATTTCTCTGTAACAGTGAGTTGGTTTATGAAAACTCTTTGATCAAAAGGGGATCATGCTACTTTTTACATTCAGACAGTGATAACTAAGCTTTGGCATGCCAGCAACAAAACTGATTGTATTACATGCAGATCAACATATTGGAATATCTTGAGGGAGTCTCAGCTGTCGAACAAAAATTTGAAGAAAATCATGCACATCACCAACAGTGTTAATAAATGTTTGAGGTATACATAGTTATCACTGGCAGGGGTCGACAATGGTCATTCACAATTACCACGGCGGTCAACAATGGTCAATCACAATTAACACTTATACTGGTAAACAACAATCACAGTTATCACTTACAGTGGTCAACAGTGGTCAATGTCAGTTAACACGGCGGTCAACATGGTCAATCACATTTAACACTTATACTGGTAAACAACAATACCTAAGTGATGGACAATGGTCATTCACAGTTATCACTTACAGTGGTCAACAGTGGTCAATGTCAGTTGACATAGCGGTCAAAAATGGTCAATCAATGTTAAAAATTGCATCGGTCAACAACGTTCGATCAGAGTTAACACAGATTTCTGTCAATAAAGCATTATACCTCATTATCTTAAATTATCTTAAATTCTAAGCTTTTCTTTGCTTCCTGCCTGCTATGTGCCTGTACACACATCAACAAAAAAACTGTTACCTTAATTTTTTTTTATCCCTGGTAAGTGATCATGAAAACCTATGAACTTGTTCATTAACCGTTTCACCACTGTAGACCATAATGGACTTATCCAGATCAATTCATGGTAGAGTTTATTAAAGTTACATAGGGGTGAAAGGGTTAAAACCATTGGTAATTAAGCCTGAGCTATTGACACAAACCAGACCCCAAAGAAAAAAGCATCAATATAAAAAATATTGCAAGCAAATTTTTGGAATTCAGCTGTGAACCATTGCTGAGTTTTGCTGAGCAGATAAATACAATGTAGCTCGCGATCGACTAGCCAATACGTAAGCGTTACCTTCTGAACTTGGTCAACGTGAAACTGCAAATCAAATATGGCTTTTAAGAATTTTGAGATTTTAAACGGACTGAATGGACACCAAGTAAACCATTAATTATTATCAGTCTCATTAATTATATGAAAACATGCTCACATCACTCTTGCGACAGAACTTGACTTGAATCTTAATTTCCCTTGCAGTATATTTCCCTTGCAGTATTAACTCTTCTTTTATGTATAGATATTGTTCTGAAACCAATTGTGTCAGATCTAGAGGGGCACACAGAAATTGCTAACCCTAGTGTATATATATAATTTCCCCACAACGAGGGGGATAAAATAACATTTTCAAACAATTTGAATGTTCAATATATGCATATTTGAAAAAGATATTTCTTAGTAGAATTTGGTAACACAACCTTTGATGTTAAATTTGAGGCTTCTGAATATGGAAATGGCAGTTACCATGCTAAGTTTTTAGATTAGAGGGGTCAAAATCCCCAAACAACAAAATGACCACCATCATGTACATAATCAATTTATTGTTGATAATAACCTCTCTTTCATTAGCGGGAAAAATTAAAACAAAGCAGGGTTTTGCAGGCAATCTCTGGATAAAATTTGGTGTAAAACAATGAAGAAAGGGCAATAACTCTGTTATATATAAACTTTATTTATTTTACAAACTTATATTTATTACTCTTGTTGGCCCAGATGTCAGTGTGCATGGGTCTTAATGTGGGATATGATCTTACTAAGTCTGTTTATAATGGAACACTTGTAGACTAATTTTATCATGTCACAAACCTCTATCTCAAGAGGTACTTGCATAAAAGAAATGGAAATTGTAGGTGTCAGAATATATGACAAAGGTCCCCAACAAAGTGAAACTCAATCAAATGGCCATAACCTTTTTCATGTATGCTTTTACATATTTACTTTACTTTCATAAGTGACCTGCCATGCTATAAGTATAGCTTGACATTTTGTTCCTGAAGAAAAAAAAAGGTAATACTAAAAAACAAATCCACCCAAAATCTTCCTGCACGTTATACACATGTGCGCTCAATACATGAATATTTATGGTAGTCCCCTTCAAGCTGTGAACAAATGAATCAATTGTATTTGTAGTATTCCAATAGTTGAACTATCTATCACTGTCAGTAGCTTTAACTCATTCACCCCTGAAAATGCATTTGAACTCTTCCAATTCAAAGGTTGGAATGGTTCATGATGAAATTTCAGGGATGAATGAGCTTAATATGGTGAATTTATCTGATTGTCTGTTTTCCCTGAATTATCAATAAATTGCATGTGTTTGGATATATGGTTTCATTTTTTTCCCGTATATATTTGCCTACATGGACTATTGTTTATAATAATGTGCACACATTGCAAGAAAAAAATCTGACTTTTTTCTAAACAGAAATTAAATTTACTGAAAACCTAGAAAGTTGGCAACCAAATTTTAGTGTAAATTCATGAAGTCATTTGCTCATGGGAACATTGCCTTTTAATGAGATAGAAAACTGAGGAAGATGGGTTGAACGAGATGAGTCAACAAAACAAATGGAAGGGAGATAACTCAACCATTCACCAGCATGCCGCTGAACAACAGACAAATGGAAGTGCTTAAGGCAAGTTACCATCCTGTGAAGGCCGTCCCATCACACATTCCCGCTACAGAACTGCGGGAATACAACAACAACATTACAAAGAAAACAAAGATATGGCAATTTTCTTTCATTTAGTTACAAATACAAGTAGGTAAGTGATGGAGGGTCAACAGCTACAACAATACAGTACATGACAATAGCATATGTATTGTTATACTGTGGTCATGATACGATACGTATCACGAAACTTATAGTAACAGTAGAAGCAAACCGAAAAGACGTGTTACTTTTAATGGCAATATCACAACTGGAAAAAGACTTGGTCCAAAACAGGCATGACTTTATTTTACACAATTTACAACTTTCGACATGCTTGGTGAACTTGAGCCATCATTCTCCATGTTGGAGTGGATATGCATAGGATAAATCTAGAAATGACAAAATTTGAAAGATATCATAGGTGAATAGTGACCTCCCAAAAAACATTGTGTATCTTACCATATTAAAAATATCGCGATATATTGTCACACGGTATACCGTTGCAGCCCTAGTCAACACCAAGGGTTCTGTAAACGTAGCTTTCACATTTTTCAGACGGCTTTAAACTTACATTTACGGAATCCTCTGTGTTGATGCTTCATCCCTTACCTACTTGTATTTACCTCCCTTTGATGGAGCTCTACGAGAATAATTTGGTATCCACCTCAGATTCCTCAGCCGGCACCATGGCCGACCTCTAACCACCAGAGGTTGGATCCCCTGGCCCAATAGTTGTATTGGTGTACCAATACTTGTATTTATTTCTTCATTTAATTACGAAGTGAGGACCTCATGGATAGCTCTGCATATTATGCTAATACATGAAACAAATACAGAATAGAGACAGCTGTGTTCCCATGGTAACATGCTGCTTTACTATGATATACACACACATCAAGCTTGATCTCTCTACCTTAATCTTTGAATGGGATACGGCCCAGTGAATCCTACATTTTGGTACTTAGAATCAAGGTCAAATGTCACATAGAGGTTAGGGTGTTCATACATAATACAACCCTTTTTCACAGTGTTCATATTTAATATTCAAGTGATATGTGAACTTTTGAAACAGTGGCAGAGATATGCTCCGGAAACCTATTATTCTGCATCTGAGATAAAAGGCTAAAAGTCAGAAGGAGTTGTGATGACCTTACTTCGGTATGCAAGACAGCAACTTTTCATGTTGTACCTACATAACTATATATAGCTAGTCCCTAGTCTGTACAATAAGTACTTATTGGGGTATGCTTTGGTGCACAACCTTCTCTTTATGTATGTACATATCAAATTTTATTTTCATACATAAAACAGTGATCATAGTACGCTCCGGAAACAGACACATGGGCCGACGGGCACACCCCCCCACACATCTATGGACAAAGCATAGCCCCATCCTCAACATCCCAGGGGTTACGCTAAATTATGCTCCCTGCACCCATGGAAAATATCATGAAAAATCAAACACTCAGTGTGCATCAACTTGTAGATGATACAAAAAGACTAGGGCCCGCTTCGCGTATCCGGTTCAACCAGTTGAAACGGTTGAACCTGTAAAGAAAACCACAGGCACCGATCTGAACCGAGGCTGACCTCAGAAATATTCGGCACGTGTAGATTTGAGGGGTTCAGACCGTACCTGACTGAAACTAAAATACTGACTATTGCTAGTTTGTGTTATTTCTTTCTCAAACAATGTCAAGCCACATGTAGTTTTTCAGATACGTCATGCAATTCAGTGGATGCGTGAAAGAAGGGTATACATTTGTAATATTCTTGATACATTGTTGTTTATTCACCAAAACTGTGCATTTTTAGCTCCGCTTATAGAATAGTGCAAGTGCATTCGTTTATCGTGAAATAGTTCTGCGCCTCCTGTACCATTTCAACTAGGATAAGCGAATGGTGCCTAGTTTGATTCTTTGATCCATCAAAAGAATTGCATGGCAGCGAAACTGTAAAATTGACTGGCTTTTAAGTCATGTGCCACTTCGATTCTCTGTATTCTTTAAAGGACAGGTGATCAGCCTAGCGATTGGTATGGGTTTTTTCCCCCCTGAGACCGATCAAATAGCTGGCCATTTTAAGTGTCTTCAATTTTGCCATGACATATTCCAGGGGTGCAGAAAGCATAAGTGAGCCTAACCCCTGGAGTATCAAGGACTTCTAAAGCATGTGTACGAAAACATCAAACCATGGGACTGTTCATTACATATATATAAAACTATTGTTCGTACTGACCATAATGGTTCTTTCAACAACAAAAGACCCAAGTGTGGTGACAGCTTAATTAGCAACAAATAAAAATGAAACAACTTCCACAGTTGAGGAGTCCATGCTCTCCGTTAAAACTAACAAGCTCAGCTATAACTCTACCGGTAATTGTTAGTGTTAGTTACAACAGTGATAAGAGTAAACGTTACCATGAGTTCAATCTGTTTGTAAAAGTAAACAAATTCATCAATAATATTTAGTGATTATTAATGTCATATTTATAATTTATATCTATCAATAAGGCCTCCAATAAGATATCAACTATTTGCCATTAAACGACTGATCGACAAAAGGTATCCCTACAAAAAATCTTTGATTAGCAATTTCTATTTCATTGTATTTAACGGTTGATAAAAAACTTGTCAACTCTTCTGATTTGGAAGGGAGACTTCAGATAAGGACTCCTGGTTTTGAATATTTCTAATTTGTGAATTTGGTCAATTTCCTATATTTTGAGTTCTGATGATTTCAACAGAAAAGAACAACTTAAAAGATGTCATTTTAAACTGTCATTTCTTGCCGAGGAGAAATATACACATACTTTGTATGCTTTTGATTTAAAATTAAAGTAAGTCAGTTTCCAATACAGGAGCTGATAGAGCTCCTCTACAATGGACTCAAAAAAATAAGTTATTATAAAATATAAATCAAAACTTCATTGTTAGTTAAATTTGCCCAGGAGTTATAATAAATTCTTCATTCTGTGGAAGATTTTAAACACATATGATAAAATGATCATGAGAATCACTTCTGAAATTCTGTAATTATTTAAAAGATATATCAAATGAAATATTTCAACTTCTTTGCAAACTACCAGATCAAAAAATAATTGAGTCGGAAAATGGCAAACGAAAATATTGTAATTTGGGCCAAACTGACATTTTCTTATACATTTCACTAATTAATGTCATTTTTTAGTCGTCAATTGTTTCTCTATCAGCCCATGGAAACAAATGAGTGACATCATTTTTTATCAATAGATGACGTCATATTATAGCAGAATGGTTGGCATATATTCAGTTCCTTTTTATGTGTGATAGAAAAATTATCATTCCCCACAATCTGGAGCTATAAAGAAATTGAAAATTTCAGCCATTGGTTTGAGATTTTCTGTCCTTCCCAAACAGCTGAGAAAGATTCATACATGTAGTATTTTTTGGTTGTTTCTCTATGCGAGACTTTCAAATGTTATGTTTTACTTATTTTAAACAGGGATATACTTTTGAGAAACCAAACAGTCTTTTTTTAAAAATTATTACTACGTTTTAGCTAAGATGAGGATATTTCGAAAGGTTGGAAGCAAATCTTGTCATTTGCAGGCAATTTGCTATAAGTTTTCATAGATCAGGTTTTTTTCTTCCCATTTTTTTTATTTTTTTTGCCTAACTTCACAATGTATGTGAAATAATTTACCCCAAATAATGATTTTACCCCAAATGATGATTTACTTATTTTTTATGGGAAAAATAAATTATTCAACTCGCGATAAGACATCAAGATTTTATATCCATTCTCGACAGCTAAATCTCGACTATTGCCTACTCGTTATCAATCTCAGTAGATCATACTGAGAAAAGAATTCGAGAGAAAGTATCCTAATCAATCAACGCTCGCTCGATTTCCTCTTGATATAATCATATACAAGGTACGTACTTGTAGTTTTCCTGAAGATGTTGTTTGAAGATTTGTTGTAGCGGTTCGAAGACTCCCGGTGAAAACAGATATATACCACAGTTGATTGCCGTGCTAACAAATGTCTCAGGTTTTTCCACATAATGGAGGACCTGCAATGTAAATGTAATTTGTTGTTACTTACACCGGGTCAATGTTTCGTGGCCGTTAAAACCGGGTGATATACAATGATGGTCTTGGGAATTTTAGTGGTGGGAGGCCTAATTAGACAGTTGACCTCTTATACAAGTGTACTTATATTCCGTCATTGCGTATTACAGATTTATCTTCTCTTGTGAGCAGGTATTGATTGTTACGTCATTGGTTTATGTGAGAAAATTACGTCGTTTTCTCAAAAATTGATGCCGTTACTCTCACAAACAAATGAAGTAACAATCAATACCTGCTCACAAGAGCAGATAACTCTGCAATACGCAAACACGGAATATAGTGATTTTCATTGGTGGGGGGAATGAAAGTACCGCTAACAACTGGTGACCATTTATAACTTAATGTCGACGCCGCAGTCGCCGGAAAAGCAACACCTTAAATTTCACTTCCACTACTAAGTCGCCGCGAGACAAAAACTACAGTGAAAGTCTCTTTAGTTTTGCTTGCAGTGGGAGAGGGATCTTTTAAAGAGGCAAAACAGGTAGGTGCAGTAAGTAAACTCGACAGTGGAGATACACATCTTACCTCGTGGGAATCTTTATTGTCGACCACACAGCCATAGTTGAGAGATTGCTGCCTCGTAGCCTGAAACACAACCAGAGCAAGACAGGAATGAAACAATACAACGGTTAGGGGTCGTATTTACCAGCCAAGATCAATTCCCTTCAGTCCTGATGGATCAAAGCTTTCTTTCAAAAGAGCTTTAAAGTTTATATACAGAGGGTTCTCTCCAAATACTCCAGTTTCCACCGAAATTGTGTCCATGTTCATGCTACATACCATACGGATCAACAAGAGTACTTAATATAAGTTGTTTTAACTTTTTTAATAATTGTTGTAAAATAAATAAAGATTATCTAAACAGAGTGAAACACTATTAATTCAGAAAGTGTTAAACTACAGTGCATGTTATTTATCACAAATTTCTTTAAGAATCATAACCTGGAAATACACCCATGAATTTGATTTGGTGCAAAAAGTTAGAAGATTTTTATTTGTCGTTACTGGTGTCATGCATAAAACAAACCCCCAACAAAATTATCTGGGTACTTTCTATGCATGACACGGGTCATTGTGATTCGCTTACCTCGGTACATAATATTGTACCACAGATACTGGCGGGACTTTTCTTGTGCTGGTCTAACATGTTCTTAAGTGGGAAGTCTCCACACACGTCGGCGTTCATCACGAAGAAGAAGTCAGGGTTCCCGGCCAGGATCTGGTCTCGGAAGTGGTAGAGTCCACCAGCTGTGCCCAACGCTGTGTATTCTTGCAGATACCTGTTAAATTGAGATTGATTGATAGAATAATTCTTTAGTGACAAATCAATATAAAAAGGTTACATTCCACAACACAAGTATGCTACTCCTTACAATATTAACGAGGCCTACGTGGGGCAGTTGTCAGAGTACTGACCACATGTCGGTGGTTTTCCTTCAGGTACTCCAGCTTTCCTTCACCACCAAAACCTGGCATATCCTTAAATTACCATCGCTGTTAAGAGGATGTAAATTAAAACACAAACAAACAAACAAACAAAATTAAATCATAATATCTCCAGCCACATTTAAAGAAGTCTTAAAAGATTTCAATCACCCCCTATTGGGCCTCATCACACTGTCCTTGAGGGTTTTCAACTATAGACTAACACCTCTGCCCCCATGGGTCACAAAGGTATACCCTTATTTTTGTCAAGGTATTTTGAGAGTTTTTATTAGGAACAGGCAGCAGACTAAAACGACTGGTTCAGCTCTTTTCTTCTTATGTACATCATCAATCTGATTAAAATACAGCTCCTCATTATCCTGTCGTTCTACTGTCGTATGAGAGTAGAACCACAGTATAATGAGGAGCTGTATTTCAATCAGATTGGCACATCATGTATCTCCTATATATAGTATTACAAAAGATGGCCAGTTAAAAATAGCAGTTGATCTGTTCAAATAAAAGTTAATGAAAAGCCTGTTTTTCACACCGAATTCAGGTAACTCACTTTAACTGTATTGGCCATGGTCTGATAATATTTCATTTGAAACGTAGACAGAGGAAAAATGGTGGACAGACATGTACACCTTACAATAACATAAGCTTACACTTTATTGTACCTTGTACTCTGATTTCAGTCAGATACGCTAAAAGTGGAAGAAATAAGGCCAGTCTGGTGGTGAAATATACAGAGATTATGGAACTGGGTCCATCGGCGGCGACCAGGTAACTCAATTGGTAAAGTGTCTGTCTAGAGTGCAGAAGGTCTGGGGTTGAAACAACTGTCTGGCCCTGCGTTATTACAATTGTATTTTATAAACTGAAGTAACTTTACAACAATTACGAAACAATTACGAAACAATTAATGTAACTTATAGTATATAATCACTCTTGTTGGCCCGGATGTAAGCGTGCAGGGGTCTTAATATGGGAGAGGAAACTGGAGTATCCGGAGAAAACCCATGTGGTCTGGCAGGTGACTTCATACCTTTTCACATCCAATCGGGGAATCAAACCCTGGTCGCCTTGGTGAACGGCCAGTGTGTTATCCACTTCACCACCCAACCACAATCATTTTACAGTTATATAAAGGTTCCCCGTTAAATGCTTGTAGGTAATAACATATTTATCTAATTAAATTTTGTTAATTTTCAAATTTGTATAAATACACAAGGTTTGCAATAACAGGACATCTCCGTAAGTTAAAAATTAAATATCTTCTGATCAAATGTTGGTGAGGATAAAATATACCTACCGCACTTGTAACTTAAATTCTTTTTGAGCTGAGTGGATGAATTTAGTGAGAGCATCGTTTGGCTGATAGAAGCCAATTAAAATCACCTCCTTCATGTCTGGAATCTGTAGAAAAGATCATTATATATCTGTAAAACCACTTATTGTTAGTGAAAAATAAACTAAGCCACTTAGTGACTTACCTATTTTTCATGAAAAAACTACCATACAAGGACTTTGCTTATTTCTTGTTCCAGAAAAACCTATGCCCTTAACTTTTTGTTGTGTGAAAACTAACCCCCCTAATTTTTCATTGTAAAATATTGAAGATAGCAACGTAAACAGTTAATGATTCCTCCACTAAAATCGAAGGGGGCATAAAAACAAAACCAACCATTTAGATGTTATCAAATCATAGGTGTTATTATTTCACATTCAATTTAAGGTGGAAAATGTTGAAACTATACTTTACCTTGCTGCATGCTTCAATGTGATGGTATATGATGGAGAAACCGGCCACTGGAAACAAAGGTTTAGGGATCTCCAAGGACAAGGGGCGGAATCGTGTACCTGTCAACACAGAAATAAAGGTTTAGGGATCTCCAGGAACAAGGGGCGAAATCGTGTACCTGTCAACACAGAAATAAAAGTTTAGGGATCTCCAAGGACAAGGGACGGAATCGCGTACCTGTCAACACAGTAATAAAAGTTTAGGGATCTCCAGAGAAAAGGGACAGAATTGTGTACCTGTCAACACAGAAATAAAGGTTTAGGGATCTCCAAAGACAAGGGACGGAATTGCGTACCTGTCAACACAGTAATAAAGGTTTAGGGATCTCCAAAGACAAGGGACTGAATCGCGTACCTGTCAACACAGAAATAAAGGTTTAGGGACCTCCAGGGACAAGGGACGGAATCGCGTACCTGTCAACACAGTAATAAAAGTTTAGGGATCTCCAGAGAAAAGGGACGGAAATGTGTACCTGCCAACACAGAAATAAAGGTTTAGGGATCTCCAAGGACAAGGGACGGAATCGCGTACCTGTTAACACAGTAATAAAAGTTTAGGGATCTCCAGAGAAAAGGGACAGAATCATGTACCTGTCAACACAGAAACAGTTTTAGGGATCTCCAAGGACAAGGGAGGGAATTGTGTACCTGTCAACACAGAAATAAAGGTTTAGGGATCTCAAGGGACAAGGGACGGAATTGTGTACCTATCAACACAGAAATAAAAATTTAAGGGGTCTCAAAGAACAAGGGACAGAAACATGTACCTGTCAACACTGAAATATAGTTTTAGGGATCTGGAAAACAAGGGACAAAATAGTGTACCTGTCAAAAACAAAAAAAAGGATCTGATATTTTTTTTTTTTTAATATTGCACCCCCAAAGACAACACTTTTACAACCAAGGTTCTGTATCTCCTTGCCAAGCATACATCAAAAACTTTGATGTAAAAGAACCAGCTTGTAAAATCAATATTCAGCTCTGCATGACCTAGATATAAAGATGAACTTTAGATATATCATTTTGTACCATTTAGTTTGATCGCAAAAGACATTGATGTGTTAAAGTCAGGGGATTTTTATAAAAGATATAAGCCTTATATATGTAATTCATCCTCGATAATCCAGGGGTTAGATGTGCTCACTTTCGCTTTCTGCACCCCTGGAATGTGTCAGAACAAAATTGAAGGCTCAGTGTGTGCTCAACCTTGTGGGCGAGACCAGAAGACAAGTTTGATTATTTGATGTACATGAAAAGAATCTGTCGGCCGCGTAATAGTAAGATATACTGGCTTTGAAGTTGGGTGTTGTTTCTCTGAAATCGTCAATGGATTGCATGTATCAAGCTAGCGATTGGTCATTTTTTTTTTACCGAAGACCAATCAAATTTGTAGCTGCATGCCTTCAAGTTTGCAATGACATTCCAGGGGTATATTAAGTGAAAGTGAGCGTACCCCCTGGGTTTTTTGAGGATGCATGTGTAGTAGGCCGAGGAATAGTGATAAAGATAGTGCCGTTGCTGGGGCTCGAACCCGCAACCCTTGTCTCTCTGACCCGCTGAGCTTAAGGGAAATTCCCTGCAGCGGACGCTTGTAAGGCCACCTTAATGAATACACATCTCTTTTACACATCGTGACATGTTATGATGTAATTGGGGTCTTTGAATAATACTTTACTTGTGATCAGAGGCTTTACTAGTGTAGCGGGGGACGTTATAAAATATATGTGTTCGTCGACAGTATTAAGCTAACAGGGTTGTAAGCTTAGTTCTGTGGTATGTCTGTAAGTTGTGTATGTGTGTCAGTGAACCTGTGTCACCCTGACCTTTGTTTTCTGTTCACGTGTCCTGTCTGAGGTCTATTTTTTATCATGCATTGTCTGTAGTCGCTGTACCTGTGTGCTTCTGTGAATCCTCTGTTGTGATTGGTCCTTTAGTTTCGTATTGTCTAATGTGGGATAAATTTGGGGTGGTGTGTCGTATACAGGGCAGTCAGATGAATTAGGTTCCTGTGTGCCGTCACATTTTTTCGTCAGGAATATTAAAGGTTAGGTTAGGAGTTTTAGATAGCGACTGCGTCGGGATATAGGGGTCAGCGTTAGTTTCAGAGTATATATAGTTAGGTCATAGGTAGTATGGGGGGGGGTCAACCTTTACATGTATTTGCAAGGCCTAGGCTATTGTAATTGTTTTCTATGTATTTTTTGTTGTAAATACCTATGTTATAATAAATTGTTAATTTATTGCAAGGCGTTTGTTTTCCCTCTAAAACAGTTACAAGTTACTCATCGAACCTGGGTTGATCTGCAGGGCGAGTCGGGGTGCAGTTTGACGTACGGACAAACTGGGCCCAAAACGCTCCTGTTACAAAGTGGTGCTCCATCAATGCGCGGATGGTTATGCCCGTCGTGACATTTAATCTTATATAAGAACTGGCGCATACGGTTAAAATTCTAAAAAGAAAGAATAGTTAACTTAGAAAAGAAAACATCGTAGCCAAGTAAATGTCGGCCGTAATAACAACACTGTAGAATTCAGCACATGAAACACGGGTTTGTATCCAACTCGGGTGATGTGACTTCACAGAATATATGACGACGATATAAATTTACCCTTCATTGGACCACCGATCAAGATAATTGTCTTCAGCATCTTTTTGTCGGTTGGTTACTAATCTATAGAAGTAAACGTGTCAGTACCAAACCTCCGGAAGTTTACTAGACTGTGTTAAAAGTTAAAGCGGAAGCCGTACCGGGTGAGGACAAAACCCGGAATGCACTCAGGCGTGAAGATAAGCTTATAATATAGGCCATAGGTCTATCTCCCTCGATTCATTCTGGATTTTCATTCGGAGACCAGCACATGAAAGCTCCTTTTATACCTGTAATAATGTTATAAGTAATGGTTAGCAGTATTTACTATTAGAAGTGAAAGTGGGGGTCGGAATGTTTTCGTTCTATTATGATTATTAATTATGAGAAGTTCTTGTTTGAACAACCAATAACATTTTCTATATGACGTTTCGATGACTAGTACGATATATGTACATTAGACAAATGACCAGTGAAGCGTATGCACACAAAGGTGTAAAATGTCAAGGGCATACACATCAACATTGATGGAGCCCCCGTAAAATAAAGAAGAAGAATATGTGTACGAGTTGTCCATAAAATCGATGTCGATTTCGGCTACGCTGGAAACGTATGTACACAAGTTGTTATCTATGTACCGAAATGACTCAATTCAGCTACGCTTTGCTAACACTTGATGTTGCCTTTTTTTACTAGCACACCCGATGACGACGCACTTAGAATTAGACAGATACTGGCTCAAAAACACAAACCTTTAGACTCGTGACCTCATGAATTTGCTGGAGTTTGTGCTCACAACAACATATTTTAGTTTCCGGAACAACATGTACATCTATCAACAACGCTTCGGCACCGCTATGGGTAGTCCAGTATCTCCCATTGTTGCCAATTTGTTCATGGAATATCTGGAGCAAGAACCAATAGCCTCTACCGGAGACGTTATGTTGACGACATACTTGAGATAATCTAGAAGGGGCCACAGAAAGATTTGACCACACATATCAACACTATAGATGCCATTAACAACATCAAATTTACATGTGAGGCAGAAACCAACGGTACATTGCCCTTTCTAGACACTCTACTGGTAAAGAAAGAAGACGGAACTGTGAAGGTATTTGGTCTATAGAAATAAGACCCATACGGACCAATACCTGAACTTCCAATATCACCATCCTTTACACCAGAGGTTAGGCGTTATACGCACATTGCTCAAAAGAGGTGATACAATAGTCACAGAACAACAGGACAAAACACAAGAGCAGAATCACAGCACTAGGGCAATGAGAACACGCATATATATGGGCCGTAAAAAACCCAGTGTCGAAGTAAGAAGAACGATAAGAACAAAACCAAAGGTCAAGTGGTCACCCCGTATATAAAGGGTATATCCGAAACCACCCAGAGGCGGTCCTCCTTAAAAGCGTCTTCAAGTGACAACAAGCGTTGCCAGACAAAATCTTTTAAAATACTGAATAAAGTAAGCGACATCAGAAGAAATGTTGTTAATATGACTAGAATACACCTGTACCAAATTTCAATTTGATAAAATGACCCGAGTTATGTTGATTTGAATTTTTATCGATTTATAGTGAAGCGTCGCCAGATAATATCTTTAAAATTACTCGCTTAAGTAAGCGACATCAGAGGATATGTTATTAGTTAGACTTTTATTGATATATATTCCAAATTTCAGCTCGATATTTGAAAAAATTATCGAGTTATGATTAATTTATCATTACGATCGGCGGCGTGGCATACGTGTGTGAATATAACTCAACATATGAAGAAGCGTCTTCAGAACATATCTCTAAAATTAATCGATTATTCATATAACTATGATACACCTTTATACCAATNTTTTGTTCATTTGTCCATTTTATCAAGTTTTAAGAGAAAGACGTATAAAATTGTACTACTGGAAAAAACCATCTGTTTTCAAGCTGATTCAATTATTAAGCACAACGAACGTTAAAGAATTAACTATGTTAAGTAAATATATATATGATGCCACCCAGTTGAGGAATAGCATGATATAATGTTAAAATATATGTAACTACATGCATTTTTTGTCCATTCTCCACTGCGTTATTGCAGTGTCTGCCACTGTATTTATATGTATTGTGTACATACTGATGAGCTGTAAAGCTCAAAGTCAATAAATGAATTGAAAAAATACGTATACGTCACTGGCATAGGTGAACACCGTTAGAATATATTGCTATATAAACATTGATACACCTTTAATCAGCTGTGTCAAGAATAACATTATTTTATTTATTGAACAATTTAGATTTTAACTGTAACCGATTAAGAATACATTTAACAATGTGTTTCATTATATATTTTTTTATTATTATAACCAATATAGTGGGAGGGGAATGCGTAATCTTCGAGTTTCTCAGGACTTTTTGAGAAAGATGGTGGCCCTGAAAAGGGCCGTTTAAGCAGGCGACTAGTGAGGTCTTTGACAAAATAACGCTAGTCGAACCTGTCTGGCGAACCGCCAAGTGATAGTACGGTTCAGGTGATCCCCAGGTGAACCCCATCAACAAAGTCTGACCTTTTGAGGCGCCTCAGCCAGAAGTGGACCTTCGGGTGCTGCCTGTATTTCCTCGCAAGGGCTTCATTCAGGGCTTCCACTTTGATGTTATAGTCTGTGGCCGTCATCCCTCGTGGACGGTATCTGTAAAAGATACTCCCGATAATGATTGTTGGGGGGTCGGGCTTCTCCAAAACACGTTGGTCGATGTTTCCAACTATTCCCTCCAGTGTCGACATTGCAGAGATTTCATTCCCCGCAACCTGCAGGAAAACTTTGGATACATCGGTGGTCATGAACTTCTTGAATACATCACTATGTATTAGTGATGTAGACGTAGCTCCCCCTTTACCAAAGAACAGGACATCGTCCAGTAATCTAGTCCTGGCCCTCTCCAAACATATAACGGACCCTGAGTAGAACCACGTCCACGTCCGTAGGGTCTGGTAGCATGCTCGTTTCAAGAGTGGCTGAGAGTTCTACAATATAATCCATTCTAACTGTGTTCACCTATATGCGAAGCCCTACCCTACGTACACATATGTGACACGGCGTATAGCATCGTAAAATTAAATTCACGATAACTCAATCATTTTTCAACAAATCTACCTGAAGTTTGGTATAAAGGTGTATCATAGTTATATGAATAACATATCTTCTGATGTCGCTTACTTAATCGATTAATTTTAGAGATATAGTTTGAAGACGCTTCACAATCTGTAGAGTTCTATTCACAAACGTGTGCCACATCGCCGATCATAATAACCAAACTTATCATTACTCAGTCATTTATTCAAATATCTACCTGCAGTTTGGTATAAAGTTGTTTCATACATATCTTCTGATGTCGCTTACTTAATCGATTAATTTTAGAGATATAGTCTGAAGACGCTTTACGATCTGTAGAGTTCTAATCACACACGTATGCGACGCCGCCGATCGTAATGATAAATCAATCATAACTCGATCATTTTTAGCTCACCTGGCACGAAGTGCCAAGTGAGCTTATGCCGTGGCACGGCGTCCGGCGTCCGGCGTCAATATTTTACTTTAAACGACTTCTTCTTAATAACCGATAGGCCTAGGGTGTCGATATTTGGCCAGAAGCACACTGGGATGAATGGCTACAAAATTTGTTAAAATTAATGACCTTCACCCATATTCAAGGTCACCGGGGTCAAATATGTTAAAAACTTTAAACATCTTCTTCTCGATAACCAAACTGCCCAGGGAGATGATATTTGGCCAGTAGCATGCTTGGGTGAAGGGTTACCAAGTTTGTTCAAATGAATGACCTTCTACCATATTCAAGGTCACAGGGGTCAATTGTCTTAAAAAAACCTTTAAACAACTTCTTCTCAATAACTGAAATGCTCAGGGTGATGATATTTGGCCAGTAGCATGCTGAGATAAAGGGCTACAAAGTTTGTTCGAATAAATGACCTTAACCCATATTCAAGGTCACAGGGGTCAATTATGTGAAAAACTTTTAAATAATTTCTTCTGAATAACCAAAATGCCTAGGGTGATGATATTTAGTCAGTAGCATACTAGGATCAAGGGCTACCAAGTTTGTTTAAATGTATGACCTTGAATCATATTCAAGGTCACAAGGAGCAAATATGTTCATAATATTTAAACAACTTGTTCTGAATAACCAAAAGGCACAGGATGTTGATATTTAGTCAGTAGCATGCTGGGATCAAAGACTACTATGTTTGTAAAAGTGAATGACTTTGACTTACATTCAAGGTCACAGTGGTCACATTTGTTTAAAATCTTTAAACGACCTCTTCTGAATAACCATGGGTTGCAGGATATTGATACTTAGCAAATTGCATCCTGAGATGAAAGGCTATAAAATTTGTTCAACATAATGACTTTGTTCGACTTTCAATCACAGGAGTGGAAGGTTTAAAAAAAAAAAAGGTCTTTTGAATGAATTTTAATCATAAATACTGATATTTTGCCCGAGCTTTATTTTAGATCACTTTTAAAGTTACAAGTGTGAGATTTATACCAGGTGAGCGATGCAGGCCCATTGGGCCTCTTGTTTCAAATATCGAGCTGAAATTTGGAATATATATAAAAAAAGTCTAACTAATAACATATCTTCTGATGTCGCTTACTTTAGCGAGTAATTGTAACGATATTATCTGGCGACGCTTTCTTCACTTTACATGCGAATACACACATGAGCCACGCCGCGATCGTAAAAATTCAATTCATCATAACTCACTCATTTTATCGAATATCGAGCTGAAATTTGGTACAGAGGAGTATTATAGTCATATTAACAACATATCTTCTGATGTCGCTTACTTTATTCGGTATTTTAAAAGATTTTGTCTTGCGACGCTTGTTGTTACTTGAAGACGCTTGTTGTTGGTTGAAGACGCTTTTAAGGAGGACCCCCCAGAGGATATATCGCAGTCATAGCATAGCAACAGCCATGAAGCCCCACAAGACGCTTCGCAATATCCTAGTACACCCTAAGGATAAAACACCCAAAGAAATGCGCAGAATGCGTAGACAAAATCGGATGCAAAAACTGCGACGCGTCGTCTGTTAGAGAGACTGGAAGGCGAGTTGGGGTCCGCCTTGGTGAACACCGGAATAAGACCGAAACCCAAGAAGGTAGAAATAAACCAGATCAGAAAGAAAACAGTCAGAGTCCAAGATAAATAAATCGGCAATCATAGACCATGCCACACAGAAAAAACATGTGATTGACGGGCATAACTCAAAAGTTTTGGACAGAGAGAGCAA